AGCATTCGCCGTTGATCAATCCCTTTCTGGGATGCGGCCCGCATTCTACTTCCATTTGTACATTCGTAGTGGCGTTTGAATGCGATGTGGCCCATACAATGACTTGAGGGGGCGAGCCCATGTACAAGTCAGAGTTTCTATCCTCCGAGTGAGGTACCAATTAACCGACCACGGAGGGATGGAAGGCTTGGTTGGCTCAGGCGACTCAAGACCCAGGATTTGATCCCCGGACCGCTCGCGGGAAGCCTGCTACTTGCCACTACACCACCCCACCCAGCTGACCACATAGGGTACCAAAAGCGATAAAATATTATACAACGCCATGTAATCCACAAGTTACACATTCGCATATATGAAGCTATCTAAACGTCTTAAGCTCACTTAAAAAATCGATGTCTTGTCAAAAATGTCTGATCTTCAGCTGAACAGTTATATGCGCAACAAAATGTGATCCTGGTTCGAACAGAAGTACACTTGAAGTTTGAAAAGTCGCTGCTGAAGAGGGTCTCTGCCGAACCCCCCCCCCCCTCGAAGCCTTTCTTAATTTGACCAGACCTACTCTACCTTATACGTTCCCACCTCCAAAAAGGCGAAGAGCGTCTGTTGGCAAGGTACATATTCCAGGGTGGGGATGTGGGTGGGCGGTATGTGATAGATAAGATGGCAAAAATAACCACGTTTCCGAACTCCTTTGTATCAAAAAAAAACTTTCATCCACACCTTCCAAAAATTAACTGCCATTTCCATAAATTAGCCTATTTCCAAAGCTCAGCGAGGATGGTCGCAAATACGACCCTCCTCGCTGAGCTTTGCCCAATTCACAGTGACTCGAAAGGAGATCTTCTTCAGTTAGGCTGATGTCAGAGTCCGCAATCCTTCGCGCGATTTTCGCGATTTTTAAAAAACACGAGAACGTATAATGCCCTGAGCATCACTTCTTGTGAAGTTCTGTGCACAAAATTCGCTCAGTTCTGTTGAAGGTTCCTTTGAAAGGTTTCAAACATCGATATTCTCGCACTGAAACTTTATTAGATCCTCAAGTATTATGTGCACAATGTTTGAATAATACTGTTGCATTCTAGCAGACACATTTTAGCATTTACAAAAGAAAAGTTATTACAGTAAAATTCAAGTAAAATCAACCTTTAACCTAACATGTAACACTATATTCGCCCACAAATATCACAGACATGCAATAGCCTCTCAAAAATTAACACGTTCAAAGAACCGCACAACATATTCGGATAAAAAGCAAATAATCTGCAGATATGAACAATACTGAACCTTTTATTTTTAAGCTGTAATAATATGCTGGAGATGTGTACACTTAACTTCCTGTGCTCAGGCATGTCGTTAAAGAAGACTTAGCAACATAAGCGTATGCTTTTTCATACCGCAAGATAATAAATGTCAATCGAGGCATATGTGACATCGATTTTTTTCGAAGCCGTCGCCGCGTAACAACTGTTTTTCTGCAGTGTACACCGCGGTAGCGAGTAAATCGATATCTCATGTGCTTTTTGATCCTACTAAATATTGAAGCCACGTATTTGCTTCTAAGTCTGCATTCATGATTTGCTTGAGACAGGAAAAAAGTGACTATTGCCTTCGCATCTGCACTTGAACACAAATAAAAACACTTAACCAAAACCAGTAAGTATATGGAAACTATTGTCATAACTGATGCTAAAATTTCTCTTTCATCATCTACTCGAAGATATACAGCTGCATCTACACGATTATGCAAACCATGACCTTAACCACCCTTCGCCGTCTGTCTACAGGGTCACGCGTAGAAGAGAAATCAAGCCATCTTAGAGAGAAATGGCTATTCCGAAGAAAAACGGAGGAGAGGTCGAAAATGTTGCAGGCGGGCAGAGTGAGTGCACCGGTCAAGCGTGGAGGAAAGACATAATGGGAGGGTTGCAAAAACATTAAAACCTAATGTATACAATACAAGTCTTTCCAAAATGCGTCAAATATTTTTTACGCTGTTTTATTTTTGAAAACTTCCAAAAGTAGTATTTGCAATTTCCTGCAGGTGCACGCTTTACAAGCGTTTCAGTGAGAAACCTGAAACAAACACAAAAATTCTGAATTTTGGAACCTCTAGGCTTGAAGAAGTGGGGTAGAAAACGAAAGAGAATTTCAGCAGCGCTTACTTTATTATTTTCGTCAGCTCTTACTGAAATACTTAAAACAGTGGTAAACACCTTCGAAACTCATGTGGACGATAGCCTGAGCAGTGTACTAAGACAGCGTTCGGAAACAGAATCAATCAACAATAACTATTGTTCTCGCTAGAATATCGTAGATGGCTCGGTTGTGGTTGAATGCAAATGCCACTGTACTGAATGGCACCAAGGAGTTAATGAGAATGTTTTTCAACATCGACCGCAAAATTGCTCTGAAAGAAAAGATTAGATTAACAGAACTCTATAATATTTTTACGCACATTTAGCAAAAAAAAACACCGTAATATTTATTTTGCCTGAGTCAAGTTATTCACAATTCCAAACTTGGCTACGGTATATTAAGGTAATTCCACATATTGGCCTGCAGTGATACGAGAAAATGGCCTCGACCATGGAAAGGACAACCTTGCTTAGACCTGAGGATGGAGGACCCCAGAAACCTTTTCTATGGAAAACAAAATTCGGGAAAATACGAATTTATTATGAAAAAAAACAGGAAATCAAAACATCGCAAAAATTTAGGGCGCTCACATGTCGTTAGGGGGTCATTCAAGGGATAAGCTACGTACAATTCTGCAGAAGGGTGTGAGCAATTTCCATTTTTGTTATCCCAGGCGTTTCTCCCCGCTCCTTGGCCTAGTTCTTGTGCCACCTACCTTGCTCCTGTTTTGAACGCCCCTTCCCAAGGCCATGGGTGCTAAGTTCAGCCCGCAAGAACCATGAGTTGGATGCCAGACTCGGTGGGTTCACGGACTTGATTTTTCCTCAATGGTCCTGCCGCGATGGCTAGAACACAGGCGATTAGAGAATGCCCTAGGACTAAGCCTTGGAGAGGAGAGGGACCCGCTAGAGAGCGCAGAGGCGGTAAAGCGCTGAGTCCAAGTAGTCCGTCAACCAGACTCGGTGATGGTGCGATCTCAGCGGCGACGCTGTCACAGCACAGTCACTGAGTCTGAAATTTACCTAACATCACAGGCTAAGCTTCGCTATGACAGAAAGCGACTTCTCCGCTTTCGCATGCGAAACTTTTTCGCTGCGGGAATCCCAGTCTACCACTGATCAGGAGTTGCAAAGAGCAGGGAAGTCTCTTTCTACTCTAGCGAACCACACCCAACATCACATGGGTGTACGCGACGACAGAGCCAAAAAAAAGTTTGAATGCGCATGACTGTCAAGCAGTCTTAAATCTGTTGACTCATCGCTTGTCTAGTGCCCAGAGCAACACCAAGCTTCCGCAAGGCTATAGCATGTAGGAAAAAGAAAAAGAAACAACAAAAACCTTGACTTAGGCACCAAGAGTGATAGTGAGTAAAGAACACTATCCTTCAGGTACAGCTAGTAGGTACAACTAGTACATAGTTTACTCATGACATTTGTACTCAGTGCTTATTTTGTCGCAGAAGTTTATTATGCCCCTGTGACTGTGAATGCTCTCGTGTTGGTGGGTAAGGTTTGCGAGACAGTGCCCATCTCGAGCAAAAAAAAGAACTCAACAGAACCATTTACGAAACTCTGATGAACTCACGCTTTGAACGGAACCGACAGCACTCCAGTGACACGTACAACGTTTGGGGGTGCCCCTGCTACATGGGAAACACTCCCGCATTCAATAACTCGAACTCGCATGATGTATTTGCCAGGTGTTTGCCCAAAAAATCGAGGGAACAGCGACTGTGATAAGCAAAGTGCCTAAAAATGAGGAACACCTTGTAGCAAAACACTACACTCCAGATTAAACTTTTAAAACTTTGAGTAAATATAAAATGAAAACACAGAGCCAGTTTCAAAATGGAACAACACAAATCACTCACCTCCAACAAGCTGCACGCTAATTTCCCAAGTAATTCCAATGGAAACAACTCTTGGGTGACATCCACAAGCGTTTGAAGATCGGCTTCATTGCCGAGAAGCTTATCGAATCGACTAAGGTCCCTGTGAAGAATTTGATGTGAAACACACCCATAGTTGAAGAGAATAAGCATCCAAACTTACACGAAATCCATTTCTACAAGGTAGTAAACCAACATGAGCTTGATGAAAAACGCAAACACAAAATCAATAACTTCAGCCATGAAGCGGCGTAGATAGGATGCCACCCTAAATACCATATTACAAATGACACTAGAAAAACCAAATAAAACCAAAAATAACATTTCAACATATCAGCTCACTGGAACTGAGCAGCGAGCAGATCCGGCCCATTCGGATTGTGGATGACGGCAACATCACGTGCACTCGCTGGAACCGGAAGCAGGAGATCTCGTGCTCTTCTGTCTTCAGCATTCGGCTCATTTGGCTCCACATTGCCAAATCGCTAGAAGGAAATAATTCTATTGCGGATTTGAACACGACACAGTGAAAACAAGAGCATGAAAATGAGGAGGATCAATCAAAACGGCCTTTTCAATTGAGGTTGTCGCGGTTTGCAAATGCCTGTTTTAAATGCAATGCTCAACTGAGGCAATTAGCGCCGTCGGGGGTTGTAGCTCAATTCTGTACGACCAAAAAGATTTGTGACGAATATCCAAAAAACTACTGTTTTTGATGCGAACCCCTTCAGCGGGTTAGCTGAAGTTCATTCACAATAGAAATGACATGTGTATTGAAATAGCACTGACTATATCTAAACAAAGTACAAAGCGATTCGAAGAGCAAAAATTTGTGACGAAATATGAGAAGAGAAATAGTGGAAAGGGGAAGGAAAGCCGTTGAATGGTAATTTAGTTGGGGGGAAGTACCACGCGGCGACGCGGCGCTCTGTTCGTCTCCTTCTCCGCGGCTTAGTCCGCCGATTGCGCGTATTTCGAACCTGGCACAAGGCGACAAGATAGTAACTGCCCCTTGGACTAAGCCTTAGAGGAACAGAGCACCGCGCCGCCGCGCGGTCTTCTCATCTAAGTTAGCACCGCCATTAGTCTTTTCTAGAATGATAAAAGCTCCAACTTACCGAGTCGCGACGTCGAAGAAAGGTGCCAGTGGACGAGTAAGCCTGCCAGGTGCGCATGCGATCTTGATATGCCATGACAGCCATGTTGTATTGATGAAAAGCTTGCCAACAATTGACCTCACTCATCTGTAATCACAGACTGAGACATGGCCTGAGGCAGGACTTTTGACGAATTTCTTGAGACCTGTGCGTGAGAGATACCACCTCTCAGTGAGTTAATGTCTAAAAAGTAAAAAAGATGTATGAATATAATAACAAGAGAAGTGCGTCCCTTTGGGTGCAGTTCACTAGAACAGGAAGCGACATTTTCGCACTTCGCAAGGCGAAACATTTTTCGCTGCGGGAATCTCAGGTCTACCACTGATCATCAGTGAACTCGAGGTTCCTGCAGTGGAAAATGTTTCGCGCTTCGAAGTGCGAAAAAATCGCTTTCTGTCCTAGTGAATCACACCCTGTGAAGCACACTACTTCCGGAACTCCTAAGGCTGGTGTCAGAGTCCGCGATCCGTCGCAGGTTCCGCTGATTTTCGCGACTTGGGAGACTTACGCGGCGGGTCACGGAAATCACAAGTGCGCTATCAATACTGCAAGGTGTCTCCAATCCCGCCACCGCTTCTGCTTGACAGTGATGGCTGATTAACGACTGCTCATGAATCCACTTGTTTCATATTCGGTGTTTCAAATGTTAAAGGGCAATTGCATTTTATGCGATCCGTCGCAGGTTTCGCGCAAACGCGAAAATCGCGCAAATCAGCGAAACCTGCGACGGATCGCGGACTCTGAGACCAGCCTAAGCCATCTTGCAATGATATTTTCATATGATTCATGGATTGGACAAGATTAACTGTCGTTGCGTGCAAATTAACCAGTAAACACTTGAGGAAAAAAATAAAAAAGGAAATAGTGGAAAAAGGCAATAAACACGCAGTGTTCAAATGGGTTACAAGGCTTCTGTCAACTAGGGGGTGAGGGTGTAGAAGGAAAAGCAGACGTTCTTTGTGGTAGTGAGACTAAGCCTTTCAAAGGAGGTAAAGAAAGCGGAGATTTTGTAATAGTGCGCTTGTGTGAGAGTTCCCAGACAGCACAACAAAACGCTGAATTGCCTAGCTTCACGGTTGGCAGACGTCCGGAAACCTTTCAAATGTATCTGAACACTGCATACTCACCCATTTACGTAGCTCATCACAGTATTGCTGCAGGGGCGAATGACCACCATCTTGCTCCTTTTCAGAACAACTGAATCCTTTTTGGACTCCAGATGAATTTTCAGCCATCACCGAACAACTAAAAACACAAAACGTTATTAAGCTAATGAAAAAGACGGTCATATCAAGCCCTACTCGACAAATGAACAATCAGAGCATGAAGCAAGTGATTCATTTACATACCAAACGTAGATAAACTGACAAGCTATTGTTTACCCTATTGCTGAAAATTTGGGTGTGCCCGGAGGTCTTTGCAAGTGTAACTAGCTGACATCGGAGAGCCTCGGAGAAAATTTAATTCGTATCAAAAGTAAAAACAGTTCCTAAGGGTGCGAATTCACATTTTGTGAAGACTTCCGACTCCCTCATCTTATCTTTTATACAAAATCCTCTCAAAAACAGGTGGGTTTAATCTAGAGAGACCAAAATGTTTTGCATATTTGCAAAAATTGTACCCCACTAAACCCACGGTAATCCTGGATCGGAATAGTTTTCTTGAATCTTATATCATTGAGACGAACAACCTTAGTTCAGTCAAGCACACTTGTTTTTCCGCTACACGTGTGAGCAGGAAAATAGCTATGGAAACAAAGGTTACGAGTGGTACAGCAATGAGCTCTTCACGACCAAAGAACTAGTCAGGAGAACCTCGGTGTGGTTCATTAAGTCAGAAAGCGACGTTTTCGCGTTTGCAGTGCGAAACATTTTCGTTGTGGGAAACTCGGGTCCATTGACCAGCCATGGATCTGAGGTTCCGACAGCGGAACGCAAAAAATCGCTTTCTGTCCTAGTAAACCATACCCAGACTAACTTCTTCCCCAAACAGTACTTCCAGCACCACATCGATGTTTGAAAATTGACAAAATTCAGAACTTTGGGGTTAGAAGACTTCTGCCAACCAAGTGGTGAGAGTGTGGATGGAATAGCATGGTTTAAGGAAAGAAGAAGAGATGCTGTAATAACGTTCACGAGTGAGAGCTTAAAACAGCACTACGAACCGCTGAACCCCAGGGTCACAGATAGCAGAAATGCTGAGACCATCTACGGTGGTTACGTGTGGCAGCTGTTTAGTTGCACATCACAAGTGATATCGATAATTTTACGCCTGATCTATCCGTTTTGCAACGAAAGCTTCTGAGACATCGCATAGAATAGGGAGGAACTAATTGGAATGAATACGCAAGACTAATGACGGCAGACACTTCCACTTATGCTGATCACGCATAAGGTGCTGCATTGCAAAATCGGATAGGGGGCAGGGTCAACCCTAAGTTGCTACAAGTAGCAACGGGGGGTCGTATCTTGGTGAGTTTGTAGGGGGTCGCACTTGCTGAGGTTGTAAGAAGTGGTATGTGATGAGAGGGGAGCGGCGCGAGAGAAAATTTGCCGTTTCAGCGCGCGTATATACCCCCTAGAAAAGATGGAGCAGTTGAACGGTTTTAAGGGAAGTAGTATACCCCCCCCTGCTCGACGGTAATTTTTTGGGGTAAAAAGTGGTCGGAAAGGGGGGGGGTCGTAGGAAACTTTTCCTGAAGGAGGGGGGTCGTAAAAACTTTTCGAAAAGTTGCAACGATAGGACTAACCCTGATAGGGGGCCGTATGCTGAATGCTGGGGAGGGGATGGGGATGGGGAAAGATTGGAGAGGTTCGTCGCAGGACCCACTGGGCAACGCCGCACCTTTGATTTCGTAGCCTTGTTTCTTTCACTGCTATTATGGATGAATAAAGGTTTGACGAGCGAATATACAATCAGGAACAGTAAAAGAAAGGAAACAAAGCTGCAAAATGAAAGGTGCAACCGTTGCAAAGTGGGTCCTGCGACGAACTTCCCCAATCTTTCCCCATCCCCAACATTCAGCATATGGCTGCGCGCGATTCTTACCCAATAATGTCCATCCTCGCGTGAAGATAGATACAGTTACTTCGGTTTTTCGAAAGTAAGAAATCATAATCAGAACCAAAACAATAAGGCCTAGCTCTTCTTTCTTTACTAGTTGTGTTAGGTATACTGAAGCCTTCACAGAAGGACAACTTCTGTATAGGAATTGCAACAAGCACGCCTTAAGTAACTTAATTTCATCTCGAAACTGATCCATAACAAAGCGACACCAACGAAAGGACACGATAAGGAATCACACACAGATACTTATATGTGGATCGAACGAATTAATCCAGTTTCCCATCACAAAATAAATAATTTATTTCACACGAAACAACAAATGAATCAACATTTAGGCATCAATTTTCTTCACGTGCTTCTTCGATTTAGGTTGCTGGGAGCGAACAATGGCAGCGGCACGTCTCTGAGCAAGCTGAAGAAACAAATATAAGGATATCCTTCCCATAGAATTCATTACATTATAAAGTGTCTTGCTGTCTGCCACGAGATCGAGTGCTTCTAAAAAATATCCTGAAGAGGATGGCTTAAGTTTGGGATGGAGAGGGCAAGAGACAGGATGTACGAAGCAAACATGAGCAAAGCAGAAACGGCGTCCACGATGGGCGCAGCATGCAACAATGAAGATTTCGAATTCAATTCCAATGCGTCCCAAAGACCGGGAAAAAAGTGTGGAGTGCGTTGAGCTGCCTGTTCGAACTACGTAGGCCCAATATAGTGGGCGTAGAGTTCTGTAAATTGGCCGTGCTTATTTAAAAAGCTCGATTATGAGAAGCCTAGAAAGCAGAAAAAGTCTACATAGGTGAACAATGTCTGAGGGTTACCAGCACACCGGAAATGAGCGGAAGCCCGAACACGATGGACAAATCGGCGAAGGAGGGATGGTCAATGCAAGAGTGCTCAAAAACCGGAAGGCGTCTGAAATCGCTGCTTCCCCGAATGATTTCTGCTTTTTTGCCTTTTCAGTGCATTTCAATTGCTCTTGCAACTGACGAAAGATAGAAAGTATAGGTAATAATAGTAAAAATGTGAAAGGATATCCACGTTAACTAGATAACGAACTGGAAAATTTTCAATACGCTGCTAAGGCCCTAGAAAGAACTTTTCATATCCTGTTGGCTCTCCTCTCTTATTTTCCACCCCTGTTTTTCTATTTCAGTTCATCTGGGGCAGCACACGACAAATATTCATGAAATTTTGTAATATAACCATTAAAGACACATCGAATCACCTTGTAGAGAGGGGAAAGTCCCTGACTTTTTGCGATCGCCTTCACGGATCTCAACATCTTGTCACGGTTCGCCAACGTGATGGTGTTGATGCTTTTGGCAGGTCTTGCCGCTTTGCCTGCAAATCCCTCTTTCAGCTGTTAAAAGATTTGAAATAAGAAATGGTAGCAAGAATGACTGACTGAAGCAGGTTCCAAAAAGAAGCTCCAGCAATTAGTAAGTTAGGCAAAAATGGCGGGTAAGCTAGAGAATGCTAACCTACTGAAATGCTACCGTTTTCGTTACTCGTCAATGGGTTGTGGGACCGTAAATGGGCCTCACTAATATTAACACCTTGGAGCCCACGCAGCCCATATATGGGCCGCAGTCCGTCGACCGCGTAGAGCCTTACAGGTCATATTTTGGAAACAAAGTTAGGTTTACCTTTTTTATTTCCATATTTTTCTTCCCAATTGCTTAGCAAGATTCCTAATTTCTTTCACTGAAATCCCACCCGGCCGCAAAATGTAAAACAAGCGCGATCTTCAAGGTGTTAAACACTGATCACTCCTCTGTAACAAGCATCCATGTGTTTCTCCAGCAAAAGTCTCGTCGAAGTGAAATATATGCATTCAGGAGTACAAAGAACCAGACAAAGAACACTTTACCTGGAACCTTCAACGAGACGACAACACCCTTTCCATCCTTCGCGGGAGCAATATCCATGGCTTTCTTGCTTATGAGTCCATTGAATCGAGGGCTGTTGATACCGCGAAGGTTGAATGGCTCAACAGAAAAAAGCTTCTTGATCCCCTTCTGGCGACGAAGGAAACAGCTATTCTTTCGAATAATTTGCCAGGTCAGATCGGCAGACATATTACCTGGAACAAAACGCATTCACCTAAATTTCTAGGCCAATGGGATGGATACATGTTAAACTTATTCCGAAAAAACACCACTGATCTCAATCCAACGTGTATCTAGTGGCGCAGCAGGAAGTCACCGGGCGATGTCGCGCCAGTTGCAATCTGTATTCGCAGCGAGAATGTCATAACTGGTGGGGTTCGTGTTGCATGTTACACGCAAAACACAGAGCACCTACGTCGGACGCGAAACTGGAATTGCAGTTGATGCGACATGGCCCAGTGACCTCCCGCTCCACCCCCTCTCTGCCTCGAAAAAAAAACGATTTTTTGCGTTTCGCAAGTTTGGAGAACATTTTGTGACAGATTTAACCTTTTTGCAGTGTCCTTTTTCGCAAAAGACTGTAGCGCAGACAGACAGAAGACAGTAGCTCAGCTTTGAACTATACCAGAGGGCGTGTTTTACAAGAGAGTTTTTGTTCGTAAACCATAATGAAGGACCAACCAATCCAAGTGATGAATGTGGGTGTCTTTGTAACAAGCTACGGTCATACTCGTAGAATGACTGCCGCTTTCCTTTGCGAACAAAGAAATCTAGCAAGGAGGGCGCTAATGCCTTTAGCGGGGGGAGGGACATTCAAAACAGGGCATTTGGAAATCGCTAGATGGTGACACTGGGACTAAGCTCGAGAAAGCGAAACGCCTGGGAGAAAAAAGTTCACTCACGTCTTCCCCCAAAGTCCCTCCCTTTCCTTAAAAAACCGAAGTTCTATAAACGGTTCACTAGCTTCAATGTGCCCCCAACGGCATGAGCGCCTCTTCGGGATAACGGGGAACAGGCAAGACATGGAAGTTTTACACAGCCTATTAGGTTGATCGGAAACATTGCCGCAACAGCTCCTTTCGTGAATATTACAAAAACAGACCGTTGAGGATACCAAAGGTGCAAACCGTTCGTCGCTCAGGTAGCTTTGGCTTCCCTCCTCCAGGAAATACAGACGTAGAACTTGAAAAAGTCGGGTGAGTGTCTCGGCCATCTCGATTTATCTTCCGTGCAAAAAATGCTGAAGGTTGATGAAGTGCCAGTAGGTGAACGGTGCGAGGTCAGGGCTGTGGAGTCTGACGGGACATGCTGCTTGAGGTCACAATGGAAGTTGATGCTTGTCTCCGACGGTCCACGGATGTGATCAGGAGCGGCTTGTAATCCTTTAATCCATGAGGCAGTGGCTCACTTTGAACAAGACCATCATGAGGCTCCATGATTCGGATAAAAAATTTGGAGTAATTGATGGTGGCTTTTAGATTGTACTTCAGGACAAGCTAGCGCCTCATTCATGCTGGCCTTATGTTGGTATTTCCGTGTTTTTCTTTGATTCGACTTATGTGGCTTTATACATGACTAACGACACGCACGGAACTTCAATATTTTGTGTTGGGAATGAAAAGAATGAAATTGAGGTCTACATCTTCTAAAAAAAGTCGGAAAAAACAGAAAAAAAAACTTAAATGATAGATTAGATCTGAAGCAATGTCGAAATATGGAGTAAAGCTTCCAAAATAATCATCCATTTTCCCACAGCTAGAAGTAAAAGACAATAGAACATATAAATCCGAACAATGAGAGAACAGCTTCACCGGGCTTTACATGAAGAGACGAAGAACTCATAAACTGTATCCCATGCAATTCAAACAGGTTAATTTTTATGAAAAACTCACGAGTCACTTCTTGAACTTAACTTCAACGCCTGAAATTTTGGGAATATCGTCTGGTACTGAAGGCAAGAAGATACTGTAGCGTATGCAGCGTTCTGTAGTCGGCCACGGGTACATACACCACATTGTCACGACTACTGATTATAATTTGAAGAGATAAGAGTCCAAAGCAGAATGTAGTATAAAGTGGAACGAAACAGAATGTAGAAATAAACAGGTTTTCAGAATTGCCGAACGAAGTCAATATTTCAGGGGAAGGCTGACGCTGTGGGGAGCAGACTGCAGACTTGGACATTTATTCGACGTCAAACACTGAGTTGTCTATTACGACCTGTGGAGAGCTGGATTTTTTTAGGCCCCGTTCAGAGATGTCCGCTTGCGCGAAAAAACGCATAGGCGAAACAATGTGAAATATGTATCGACCGAACGAAGACGCACAGGCGAATCGTGAAGTGGGAGGATCGACGAAAATGAGTATCATACGCATCGACTTACGAACGCTTCGCTCACGCGATTTTCCGCCTGTGCGTTTCTCACAGTCGATACATATCAATACTCTTGACTGAAAATTCAGCTCTCTTAGGACGTTTTCGCTTACGCGGTTTCACATTTCTCAGTCGATGCGTCTCTAAAATCTTGGCGGAGAATTTTCGCCTGTGCGTTTTTTCGTCCGCCGCGCGGACATCTTGCGGACCAGGCCTTGACCAAGAAGTGCTTTGCCCCTAAACTCGGGTTCAGTTTTGGCGAGAGAAAACAGAGCTAGCACACTTCGCCTACTATTATTGATTTACTTGATTGAAACTTGAGCAATTTACGAGCCAAGCTGAAACGGGAGCTCTGGAGCGCCAGATGCATCCCAGCCGAATCCCACGGCCGGTGTGGTGTAAATAGCTTTACCATGCCTCATCGCCTACAGCCACTCAGAGAGTGGCGCAATCTGGCGCAAAAGTTAGATGCAGGACTTCGATCGTCGAGGTTCGTGTGAGTCAGGGTCCAACCCGTTGGGCAAGATTCAAGCGGGGGGGTCGGTACATGAGCCAATGAAGCAGAGGGGTCGTAAAGTTCGGGTAACCAGTATACAAAATTCGACGATAGCAAGACACTATGACAAAGTGGCAAAGGGGACAGACTTCCCACTACAGTGGCGGCTCCTCACCACAGAACTGAATGGCGCAATCCTATATATAGGATTGCTTTACTAATCCTTTCACCCGTCAAATATTCTCTTCACCTGATTGCCTCTGAGTACTCAAGTAGAACTCCCTCCTAGCAACACAATAACAGAAAAAATCAGAATACGACACCCTACCCAACGCAAAAATTTCTAGACGTGTGAAACCCACCCAATACACTTGCTTGGTCATCTGCAGGTTGGTCCTGTCTGTGACTGTATGATGGACTCTATTTTTGACCCTTCATATCAACAACGCTGTATATAGTTCAGTCGAAAGCACGTCTGAGTAATCGTTTGGGCGCGTGAATCCTGCGTAAAATCCTCTCCTTACAAGTGGCTACTTCGAACCTGAGAGTCCTTCCCTTGTCGAGTTCCGAGTGTATGTGATAGTTGTCCACAAGTGGACGTTGCTCTAGGAAGTTCGCAAATGTTGACGTTTTTTCCATTCTTTGACTTCTGGTCGACCCATCTACAGGGAGGGCGGCTCGGGTGGAACAAGCACATTCGCGTCCCATTCTGAAATTTTCAAAGAATTTACCCAGGAGGGTGGGGGTTATCAAGCGCCATTATCATGCTATGGTTAATTTTTGACGAACCGCCTTTTCAAACCTGCAACCTGTAAAAAGAAGACCTGCCTGTGGGGATATTTAGCGTCATGATTACGAATATTCAACCCGATTGTAATGTTGGCGCCACACCGACGCAATTTGGATCAAATCAGTGCCAAAATGACACCTCGTGGCGCTAGTGTCAAAAAGATGTCATATTCGTCTTCGTGGCATTGAATTACACCTACGATTGGCTTTAAAGCAACTTTCGACCTTTTTGGGGTTGTACTGCTACGAGCGTCCGGGTTTGACAGTGAAAAAGTGCCAGCGCGTTGTGCAGTGTGGGGTCCCATTGCACCACAGGAGTCCTTTCTTGTGGTGGTGGTCTGCACTCGGTGTGCTCTGCTTTTCTGAAACAGTGGGATCTAATCAAAAATAGCCATCGTATCTCTCGCTGAGACGGTGGCCGACGATTGCTATGTCGCACATTTGATTTTGATTTTGGTCCATAAGTTTTGCAACAAACTGGCTGAATTTTGACTTTAACATTTTTGTTGTCTTTTTGTTCCATTCATCCAGCATGATACACACCATCAATATGCATAAACCATTGTCAGCGCACTAGAAACTGTATGCCTCTCTTTTGGAATTCCATTGGATGCTAATCGGAAAAGATCAGGTGTCAATTTTGACATCACGATGGTTAGGATGAGATTTGTTCTCTAGAAGGGGGTCTGGAAAGGGAAGCAGGTGGGCATCCTTTGTATCGGGGTCGGAGCTATAAGGTGGATACGAAAGATTTCTCCGCCCGAGAGTCCTAAAATTTTCTTGGGTTTTCTTAGCAAGAAGTGGTTCAACGGTGTCATAAAGAAGCAAACTTTGTCCTGTTTTTCTTTCGTATTGAAAGCGTTGCAATCATGCTGTGAACGGTTAAATTACGAGTTGACTGCGACATCTACAAGAGGGCTTTCCGAAGCTCAACTCCTCTCGTATTCCTCCAAGAATCCAAGAAGGCCCTACTGTGGGACAAGGTGAAACTTGAAGCAGTATGAACCCCCAAAGCGTGCTAGCTACGACTGATCGCGCTGGTCTAGCACACTGTACCCTCTCCTCATCGTCGGCAAATATCATGGATAGTCAATCAAAGAATCCATAGTAAGTCGACTTGAACAATGTCGATGTCAGATCGTTTTGAGCTGAATCGGGCTCAAGGCATCTGGGATCTAAACTCTACATTTTAGGACCTTTACAAAACTTTGGAGATGCCGCAGTGCTGTCCCCTTGTTACCTCGAAATTGCTCTGACAAATGATTGATAGCCCATCCAGATCCTTTTTCAGCAGCGCCAGATAAAGCATCGTGATTGTCAGTCACGTGGTGGTTGGAGTGTGGATCATCTTCAAATAAAAAAAATTCGACGCTGAGCAGGGTGAGGCGCCTGTGCACCGCGAATTGAGAAAGCGTGCCCTCGCCCATCTTCTGGCTAGTCCTTGGTGTAGTATAACTTGCGGAACATTCCAAGCAGTACTCGTAAAAAATATGGGCATGAAACCTCTTCGCGAAATCGATGTAATATCCATAACAAGTAACGAGACAACGAGCTGGAAGGTTGGCTGAAACTGCAAAGGGGGATGCTACACAAACATGTTGCAGAATTTTCAGAGTTATCACAAAAAGTTTCTAGCATTAAATGTGATTTGTTGCAAGACTTAACCTAACCTGGACCAACCTTATATTATGTTATGTCTGAAATCCTGGCCTTCAGTACCACTCACTTCGGTGCACGCCACGCCCGCTGTGGGCGTGGCTCCGCTTAGCTGATGTATGTTTTGTACTTCTCGAGACCTGAGCCACCCATCCCATACTTGACCCGGTCTCTCGAGAAGGATGCCAAGAAGCTAAGGAATGTCGTGACAGACAGACACCGTGACACACACAGGCGACGTAGCGCATTATCCCTACTATATACAGGGGTGGCCAAAAAAAAGAGACACTTCACCCCAAATTCCAGACAGCATTAATCACACTTTGGTAGGATCAAATCGACTGCTCCCAACTTAGCATTGAAGAGCACATTCTATTCTATCTAAACCTTACATGATAGCTTTCTACACTGACGGCATCGGAAGATTTTCTCACGGAAACGTGGTACACGGTACGAGCTCAACGAGGTCGTCGAGGTACCATAGACCATTAAGACGTCTCTGAAACGCTGTTCAAAAGCGGTTTTGCATAGCCGTAGCCAATGTTTCTGGGAAGTGTATTGTATTTAACAATTGATCCACTGAAGAAATTATGTAGCAGCTTCAGGCCGGAGCGATTTCGATAAGCTTCTTTGAGCTCGACGGTGGCGGTAAATGACGTCATATTCCGAAGACGGCGGGGTGAAGGAGGGCCTGCTTCTGCTTACGGGGGACCACCAAAGGAATATTCCGCCGTAAAACTTTCATTAACATCGGCATACTGTGCGACGAAAAGTTTGATGATGTGCGTCATGGGCAAAGTGTCTCATTTTTTTTGGCCACCCCTGTATAATGCGCTAAGTCTGTCTGACTGTCTGTCTGTCACGAAATTCCGTATTAAGCGGACAACAACCTACTGGGTACAGGCCAAGCTTGGGATGGGTGTACCATACCTCGAGAAGTAAAAAACATACATTACCTAAGCGGAGCCCCGCCCACAGTGGGCGTGGCGTGCGTCGAAATGATGGTACTAAGCACCATGATTTCTTGCACATTTGCTGAATATTTCTACCGCGCAGTTTTGGAACCTGAAGTATTCGGAGCATAAATAATAGTGCAAATCGGGTCTGTTCCAGTTAGGGGGGGGGCATCATAATGCAGTTTCTTGACCAACTAGTGTGGATTCGAACAATCCAGCTTTTCACGCATGTCAAGTGACTGCCCTCACTCCCCTTAGATTGGCTTCCCCTGGCTCACGAATTTCCTCAATTCTCGCGACGCCATAGTAAGGGACAGCGATCCCCACATGCATTTCGCGCACACCGTATTTAGAAATACGGTGTGCTCATCCCACTTGTATTGCATCGAGTATATTTCCACCATCTTGGGTCATAAAATATTCGGAGCAAAATTATAGGGCAAATCGGGTCTATTCCAGTTAGGGGGCATCATGATGCAGTTTCTTGGCGAACTAGTGTGAACTCGAACATTCCATCGTTTCACGCATGCCAAATGACTGCCCTCAACCCCATCTCCGTAGTCTGGCTATACTTCCTCCAAGCTCGGAGTTACCCTAGCTTTCTGCAGAAACTGCATCATGATGCCCCCTAACTGGAATAAACCCTGCAAATCTTTGGAATTGTTCAAAAACCACTATAAATCCGAACATAAATGGGGGGAAGTTAATATTGGGCGCTCATGTCCTTGGGGGTGGGGACATTTTAAACAAAGCACTCAACACCGAGAAAAGCGGTTTGTTTGATTAAAAATGTCTAGAAGATGTGGCTCGCACCTAATTGGGAAGAGTTCGGCCCTCAATGCGAAATTATATTCGGCTGCGCCCTCTCGGTGAAATAGTGATAATGTCGCCGCTCAGTTCATGGGCGGTATTCAATCCTTCCCCCAGGGGGACATATCCCCAGAGTCAACCTTGCGTTGCGCAGTTCGCAACGGCACGTTGAGAGATCCTCAACGCACGCTGTATGGGCGGAGACACAGACGGCTCGAGGATGCGAGTGTGAATGTTCGCGCGAGAGAACGTGTCTAATCGGGCAAAACAGCGCAACGTGGCCGTTGAAAACTGCGCAACGCAGGGTTGACTCTGCATATCCCCCTACTCTGATTCAATCCTCTGGGGGGACAGAAAAGGGTTACGTCATAGGACCCGCACACCTCTGTGTTTCTACCTGCCAGACGGTAGAGCAGCGCGACCCCTCAGGGGAAAGAGTGCTTCATCGATGGAGGGTAGTAGCGCTGCTCTGACTGTCTGGCAGGTAGAAACACAGAGGTATGCTAGGTCCTATGGTGCCCTATGGTGCAACCCTTTTCTGTCCCCCAAGAGGATGGAATCAGTCTTTCAAACGTTCTTATTGCAATGAAGTGCTTTTCGCAATTCTAAATGCCCTAGATTTCTTGTGCAAAAATGTCTTCCCCCCCCCCCCCAAGGACATGAGCGCCTAATATTGCTTTTCTTTTAGTACAGAAATGGAATTTCTAGTCCTATCATCGCACCATATTCCCTTAACAAAACCAATGGTTATTACTAAAACAATATGTTTCGACTACTAAATTGTTAGGCACGCAACATATAACGTGCTGCAATCGATAGCCCTCACGCGATGCGGGCGCCTTTTGATCGCAGTGTGCGGCACAGAATTCTTCTTCACATACATTATTTGAACATTATTCAAAAACTAGAGATGAATAATAAGCGGACATTAGCGAATTGATCGATTTTCACCATATTGTTCCTCGTGGTTCAATGTGCGACATTATATCGACTTCTCACGAAATTCCTGGTCGTTTGCGGTTCCAATAGGTTTTATTTGTAAATCCGCTTTATATCACATTAGGTTTTTCGTGAAGGGTTTTGTAATTGCTCTAACGTTTATCGATGTTTTTTTTATGTTTCGCTGATCTTCCCACGCTAGCATTCCTGAGTATTAAGCAGTGCGTGCTTTTTTGAATTTACGGAAAAAAACTTGTTGCAGATGGATTTGGAGTCTTCCGTGACGTAATTTGGTTGCTTCCATGGCTTTCGAATCATTGTAGAAGCTTGTTGGTCGTGTAAATTTTCAAAGTTCTTTGTCTGTTTGCAATAGTCGTAATCAATTTTCAAATTGTTTTTCTGTGCTTTTTCAGGGTTGTGGAGATTTTTTTTATTGTAGAGATGCGGATCCACATGTTCAATTAATGTCAGCGAAAACATCCAAAGTACTATCGTGGTATCAGTCAACGGCGGATAAACGGATACTACGAAGGCACAAGATTGGACCGCCCGATGTGCACCCACAAGAGCCGCGACAGGAGGAAGACAACCTAAGTAATGAAAGATTGCGGAAGGGATATCAGGTAATGTATTGACAGTTTCCCCCAGATTCAAATGTATTTTAATTCTGTACATTCAGGTGGGGGCGACACCATTTGAGCACGAATCTTTGGTGTTCAATAGTCGATCAGCAAAACTTGACCGACTTGATGAAGCCCACGCGAAATCCACAGCCCTGCTCAATTTTGTAAGTGAAACTTTTAAGGAATGTTTATTGTGATGTTCTTCACATAGTTCTTATCAGGTTCTCCACAGAAAAGGTGAAATTAACGCCAATCTCGACAAGGAACGAAGGAAGAACAGGGAAACAGCAGGCGCCCAGTTTGTAAGTTGCAATTTCTCCTTACTAGCCATGCTTTGGATTCGATAATAATCAAGTGTAAGGGGTTGGTTAGGCTTACGACGTTTATACAGCGCCGTCGTTACTGCTGACCTGTGTATAAGTGCGAGGTCTATGAAGAAATGTATTATGTCCTATTCCGCAGCACGGTAAAAATCACATCGGGGAAGTAGCCGCTGCAACTCGAGTACCACCGCTACTGGTTTCCGACATTGGGGTGGATGTAGTGGATTTTTTGTTTTAAGCCTCCATTTCATTTCCTCACCTCAGCCCCATATCCCATCTGTGAATCGTTAGGCTGGTGTCAGAGTCCGCGATCCGTCGCAGGTTTCGCGCGAATCGCGCGACGGGTCACAGGAATCACCAGGGCCCGATCAATACTGCAAGGTGCTCTCTAACCCTGCCGCCAATTTTGCTTGATGGTGATGGCCGAAGGCGAATTTTCATTTCCTATTTGTTTCATATTCAGTGTTTCAAATGTTCAGATTGCAATTTTTGCGATTCGCACGAATCACGCGAAACCTGCAAAACTTGCGCCAAATTGCGGACTCTGACACCATCCTTAGGGGAATACGACCTCCATAAAGGAATCCTAGATCGTGATTTGCTCTCTTCTGCAGTCAGAAGGGATAAGGTCCTAGGTACTGAATTCATTCGAGAACCTGGTAGTTTGTACTGCTAGCAATGTTGATCACACTGCAACGCGTTTCAATGAAATACTAAAAAACCTCCGTAGCGTCATGGTTTTTCTGTTTCGAAGTCGTGGAATGAGGTTCAGTAATGAGGTGCCAACGGCTCTTGGCTATCAAATTTCACCACTAACCTAGTACGTCGAATGCCTCCAACCCACAATAAACTGATGAACGGCTTACTTGGCAAATATCGTTTTCTCAGGCTTCTGCAAAAGCCAAGGAGCGAGCTGTGTGGTTCACCGATCTCGCTCGAGGCAAGGCTCTATCTCAGCTAGCTAAAAAGGTGCCGACTATAAAGCGCCGCGAAGATGGTCTCGAGTACCTGTGCGATTACAGGTGAGCTCACTTTATTTGTTTTAATGAAAAAGCAACATAAGGAAAGTTTTCAAGGATACCGCCTTTTCGAGCGCTGTGGTACTTGAAAGTCACTGCTGCACTCACTGGAAGCCCAAACACAACCAAGCAGAAGAAATCAATCAGTGATTTGTTCTCTGCAGGTTGGTAAAAGCCTCATTTTAGGTAACAATTTTTTGTGAAACCTTACCTATGAATTCGTGTTTTAGAATACAAGGAAATATTCGTGAAAGCTATTAAGGATCTAACTAGTCGGATGTGGTGCGTCAATGATCTCTCAACGTGTCCTATTTATAAGGAGCGTTGGCTTTACATATCAAATTTGAGTAAAATGGCATTTGAGGTTAGTGTTCTTGTTCTGTAATGGCAAGTTTCCTAGGATCGCTTGCTTATTCTTGTTTACGGAACATTCTTATTGTTATTTTTGATCAAGGGCCGTATCCTGTCCTTCTCACAGGCGAACAAAAAAACTTCATGAATTTTATTCGTTTTTAGCGAGTCGAAGTCTTTGTTCTCAGGACACGTTTATTTTACACAAATAACAGCTTACAAGTATACCCCTTCTGAGGGGGGGGGGATAATCCGTATAATTTTTTCCTCTTCGCCTGCGGGATGAATAGCATATAGTCACAGTACCCTTTCGCGTTGCTGTACCAGCCAATAGGGCGATTCGCTGGGCGCAACGCGACCGACGCTGGCGAATCGCTCGATTCGCAAAGTCTGTCATCGGTCTTACGTGGGGAGCTCGCGCTACGTAGAGTTCTGTTGCCGACGGCAGGGTTTTTCAAACAGTCTGAGTTGTCATTCTTCAGCATCTTCCATTCCCTTAAGGATACAAGCTTGAATATGTGACTCCCCAGCTTGTAGGCGACTCCAGAGTGGTTATCTTTTATTCTGGACAAGTCGAGTTATCAAAGAAAAGCTCGAAAAGAGGGAATGTTCGTGTTCATGAAATTAGACGGCGAAAGCTCTCCGTCTTTACTGATCCTTGGCTATGATCGGCTTACTCTGTACCTGATTCAATCTGAGATAATATCTTTTTTATACCTTTTCTTCCAATACAAGATTTGAAAACCATAATCGCGCAGCCCTTGTTATTCCAGGATGGCGTAATTGAACGACAAGATTTCTTGAATGAGTTGTGCGATATATTCTCTGATTATTTTGTTCGCCGAGTGAAAAATGAGGAAAAGCTCCCACAGTTACGGTATGTTTGTTTGCTGTGTGTTATGAAACCCAATAGTGTCACAACGTTGTATATTGTTTAAAAATTCTAGAATTTATTTATTGTTCTTGACACAATTTCTGCGACATATCAACAACAACCTTATCCTGGCTCGACGGCTAGCTCATATGATAGCAATGAAGCTCCGGCTGTATAAAATGGAATACGATGAACAGAATAATACGTAAGTTCTTTTTTAGCATCGTATACTCAAAAGATTTTTTCTCAATTGCTGAACACTCAAAGATGTACTCGCTAATGGTTCATCTCCTCCGATTGTTCCTTTATTAATGACTTATATGGAATTTAAAGTAATTTTTTGTTGCGTGAACTTGTTCATATGCATGACTTCAGTGTTACGAAAGGAGCAGAAGCCTTCACAGCCTTGGCCCAGTGCTCAGCTTTTCGTCCTGTTATTCACGTTTTGATAGCAGTTTTACAAAACATAGTCATTGATGCGCCTGCGGCTGTCATATGGAATAAATTCAGGGTATGAATGCTTTATAAGTGGTTTTGCAAGTCTTACGATAATCTGCGCTCCTCAGGTCTCAACAACAGATAAACTCCCATTTATTTTGTCCCAGCTGTGTGGATCACCTCTGGACCTGCTCCCATGTGCTGTTCATGAGTTACCACTCACTCCAGGAAAAGGTATGCTGGTAGTGAGTTTTATAGTACAGAGTTTCCGGATTTGTTCTTTTAGATTCTGAGAGGTTCGCGGAGCTTCTAAAGCTTCGAACGACGGAAATAGTGCGTCGTAGCCAGGCCGTGCAGGATAAATGGTCCTTCAACCAAAAAGAGCAATTTGCCTTCGGTACACCCTTGTATTTCTTTTTCAGTTCTTGGCCCACTATTATTTGAATTTTTTGCAGCGAAGCTGGTGAATGGCTGCCTTGATGTGATAGGTATTCTCGACTCAACTGATGTCTTTGAACCAAATATTTTACCAGCAGTCACAACGCGAATATTTAATTTCCAGTCAGAAAACTGGGCTGAAGACGTTCTGATAAGGTTACTTTTAACCTCCTACATACATATTTCCATTAATGTTTGATTTCTGCAGAATAAAACTCATGCTGCACTGGGCTGTTACTGCGGAACGAGAAGGAAGTCACAGAGCAGTCATTGTAACAAAGGTGTGCATTTTTACAGTTGTTCGTGAACAAACCCCGAGAAGACGAGTGAATGTTATACGGTAATTGAGCGCAAAATTTCGTGAAGATGCATTGAAAACGTTATGAAATGAGAGCGCGCGTTCATTCCATTTTTGTGGTCCTATTTTTCACATTTTCAGGTCATATACAACCAAGTTCTCAATCAGCAATCCTATATGTTTGGCCCATTCCACATGCAGGATATTATTCTCAATTATTTCTACACGGAAGCACCGACGGTTGGATCGAAATACTATCATCAAGAATTTGCATCTTTGGTTACTTTGTTCATTGAGCTGTCCCGTTTCAAGTTGTTTATGCATGATTGGTGAGTCTCTTGTTTTGCATTTTTGTACAGATTTATCGATTTTGTAAAGTGCTCCTACACTTTAATGGCTGTGTTGCAGTTTCGTCAAGGAATTAATCAAATCCGGAGAGCTCGACTATCAGCGACCGGTCATGGATAAATATAAAAACGAGAATAAAGCTACGGATGTTATCTCGTCCTCGCTGATTTCGGCTCAGGTAATACATTGAGTTCCTCTTGCTCAATAAGTTCACTTATTAGAGTACGATTTCTTCATTCTACGTAGCAAAGTTTTCGGACATGGATGACCTCGTGGTTGGATAGGTTATACGTTTGCTTCAGAAACTCATTGTCACAGTACACGTTGATTTTGTGTGAGAAGTCGTCAAAGTTAGTGCTGTAGGCCTCCACATTGATGACCTCCTCTTTTTTACCAATCGAAAGAAGGGATCCACCAATAAGAAGAGCTTACTACTTCAGAGTTTTCGCTTGTGATGTTAGCTACAAAACCCTCTCTGACTGTGCACTTCCTGGAAGGTGCGAAATTAGCTTTTGGAGGCCTAGATAAGTCGTGAAAGCGTTTGTATCCCGGAGCGCTGCGAAAGAACACGTTTCACAAAAAATATCGAAGCATTCGTATGAAATACTAAAGTGATTGTGTTTAGTTCGAGGACCTCACGCCAGATGAGCCTCCGAAGCCGACAAGTTTGATCTCCTTCAGACAAGATGAAAAGGACGAACATATCTACTTGAATGATCCAATGTCCATGAACGACAGAATCCTCATACAGGTGCTAGTTCTTTGCTTTCATTACCAGTGTCTTCACTCCATTGTCTTCTGTAGATGCCGCTTCGTCAAACTGAGGAACACCGAAGCGAGGCAAATCAACGAGCGCTTGTTCTGTACGGCATGGATGATGTCCGGGAGAATCATAAAGCTGAAATGAAAAAGGTTTCAGTTTTAAACTCATTTCTTGACATCCTTTTCCTGATGGTATTCTTGTGTTCGACATGTATTTCTTTTCCAGATTGCCAAAGAAATATGCAAAATCTGGCAAAAGAAAATCTATGTGCAGTTTGCTGAGGGTAACGAAGTGCCAATATGCAAGCAATCCATCAATTCACAAAAGATTGTTGAGATTCTTGCTAGGTTCCGGTGAGTACTCTCAAATCTCTTTTGATTGTACATTAGCTGACATTGTTCGCTTCAAGTTTCCGTCCTAGAAGCGAAGAATTGTACACAAACGGGATTACTCAGTCTTTTGGTTGTTTTGATTAAACAAATGGTTACTCTCACTGGTGTAGAATTTTGCTAAACATTTGTTTCTTTGCTGCATTAAATATGGGATGCATTAGCCCCCTTCTTACAGTATCCTTCAAGAAATCGATGACAATTACCGACCTGACTTTTCGGAAGGGGCACAATTTTTCTTTCAAGGTTCTAATTTCTTTGTAGGAGCCAGACGTACTACGACCAAATGATGATCTGTGGATGGTGTGCGGAGTCCTTTTCTGATATGATTCGTGACTTCGTTTTTGGCCATTCCCTGCAGATGCCCACTTCGGAAGGTCTGGATATCATCTGTGGGATGTTTGAGGCTGCTCAGTACATTTATGGGATATTCGAGTTGTGTGAAGCAGTGAGTAATTCATTTATTTATTCTTTCCCGGAATTTCCCAATTACTTATAGACAGCAGTATGATTTGTGTTTTGCAGGTTACTCCCCTGCTCCTTTCTGCAGAGAAAGTGATTCGGTCGTTAGCTGCAGATGTGATCCCCGGCAGCATGTCCGGTCAGTTAGGATATGTATTCGTGGCGTATATCTCAAGACATTGGCATTACTTTCTGCATTCTGATTTGGCTCCAGTTATCACCAATCAGTGAGTTTGTTCGTGTTTTAAAGGTGCATGTGTATTTGAAAAGGATCAATTTGTAACAATGATGTGCAGCATTCAATTAATTACAAAGAAAGCAGCAGTAACAAGAGGTTTTGTGACATGTTCCAAGTAGACATGTAGTTGTTTTCAACACTTTCATTTTTTCTCTTTAAAGCCGTCTTCATCAACGAGTCATTATGCATTTTGATGTCTACAATTTCAGATTATATGAACTGATCGAGCGAATGATCCGTGCACACGAATATCCAGTGACGAGTTGGGGTAGAACAATTGCCGCTTTCGTATATCACTCGAAATGTCAACTGAAAAAGAGCCAGGTTAGACACAAGGGTGCTTTTCAATTTGTCTCTGATTAGCAAACCTTGCTTGGAGCTTCATTTGTTTTCTGCCAACTGTTAACCTCTGATTTTGTGGGGGGGGATGAGTGAGGGGGTAGAAGGAAACTTTCGCTAAAAGCAGAATAGAGCAAGCTTTTCTCGCACTGGGTGCAACTTTTGATGGAAGTTTTCTGACAAGATGTTTTTATTAGATGTCTATAAACAAGTGAGCTTCAGTGTCTTTGCTGTTCTCAAAATATGCATAAATTCATCTGCCGTCGCCATCGGGCTAAAGGTCAGGGGTGAATGCTCAAACCCGAAGTTGATGCCTAATTTCTTTGATCACAACTTCTTTAATTTTAGATATATATGAGGCTTATGGAGTTTTATTGGAAGCATCATAGGAACAAGAAGCATAGGACTTGATTTAGTAAAATAGGATCAATTCACTTTTGGATGCGAAGGAATTTTTTGGCTTCCCTATACCTCCCTATATTCTTTCTTCTGTTGGATCCCATTCAACTTTCTCTCGCTAGAGGTTTTCGTAATAATTTGTAATGGTTTCAGCTCTCTGATATAAAGTTGCATGGAGCTCACGATGATTTCCGGCATGTTTTCAATCATGGAAGTTCTTCGTATAATGGAGGGAGCCGTTACAACGCATTATTCTTCAAAGACGTCTTCGAGAAGAAACTGTAATTCGTTATCTGATTTGTGTTTTTTATAGTTTTTGTTGCAGCTCTGTTTTTTTTTACAAGGCATGCATAATATTTAGGCGATTTTTCTCCTACCACGAGTACAAAAAGAGGCTTCCTTCGTTTGGTCAACTTTATAATCGCTACTCATTCGTCATCAATTCCTTCATCGCTGCCAAGGTAGTCATTTCAGTTTTATGCGAGATAGTAGCTGTGTATAAATTATGATTGCAGAACTTTATGCGTGATCACGACCGATTGGCCGATCTCGCTGCTTTTTGCGGTCATATTTCAGCCCAAATTCCTGCACTAGCGGATGAATGGGTTCGTTTTGAACTTGTAATTGTGTTTCTCTTGAGCAGCTCTCATGCGGTAATTCCTTTTTTCAGGTTGCAGCAATAAAAGCGCTGTGTTGTACGAGTGGAAGTCAGTACACGGGTTATGGCGAGCTCCTTGCTCATATTGATGTGAGTTATTTCTACTTTCTGTAGTTGTTGATTAGTTCTTACAACTTATGCAGTTGCGTTTACTAACATGATCAGAATATGGCTTTGATCCAGATAAACGACTGCTCGACTCACTACCCGCTGGCAACATTTGTGTTGTTGCTGGCCGGCAAATACGCCTTTAGTGTGCCGCGTTTGATCGCGCGTTTAATCGCCGAACTTCTAAACAACGCATTTCCTGTGGTTATGAAGAGGGAACAGAGCTCTTTTGTGTCCGGACGCTACAATGGTAACGAAACGCGCCACCGTTTGCATCTCTAACATCTACATTAGTCTTTTCTTAGTTCTTGGACGAAGTGAGTATGACTGCGAGCCTGGCGCATGCCTACCCTACTCATTCTAGCGCAAATCAGTTGTGCAACTGATGAGCCATATCATCGTTGGTTTCAGTTTTCTTGGTATTTTTTCAATGTCTTCTCTGTTTCAGATTGTTTTGATTTTTAGTGTCAGAGCATTACGTGGGCACTAGTCCGAAAGTGAAGTTGCTTCCAAAATGTGCGGACGAGCATATGTTGTCGATGATTCACTGGTATGTCATTACCTTTTCCTTTTTCGATTAAATTCGCTCCTATGTTTGTTCCGTGTGTTACTCATCATCAGAATTTGAGCAAGTAGGGTAGCCATAGTGGTTCAAAAGCAGAGCTTTCTGTTGACAGTCATAGGTGACAAAACTCACGTCGTCGTTAAGCGCGTTGAATATGAAAGGTTTTGAATGGGGGGGGGGGAGGTTAAACAGGGGATGACACCATTTTCCCATGATTCATTTTTCATCACATCTCCGATTTGAAGCATAGCCGTTTATGAATTCTGAGGCAGGAACAAGGCTTAGTTGACGCCCACATCCAGTGCTTTCGACGAAGTACTCATACTGTCATTTCAGGTGTGAGATGGACAGCGTGCTTTTTCCGATGTTGAGCAATATTTGTATCCTTATGGACACTTTACGAGGACGGTTCAAGGATTTGGAGTAAGTCTCTTATAGGTCATGGACCCATCTGTGTTATTATATCCATAGTAAAGTTTATCGATTTCAGTTTTGAACCCAGCCGAATTATTGATTCTACCAACTATCGAAGAGAATACCTTATGATAATGCTGAAGGCGACGCAGTCAATAATTTGTGAGGAAGACTGGGTAACATTGAAGATGTTTCGCATTGTGGAGACAAATCGAATGGAGGCATTCAATCATGATCGGCTGAAACAGAACTGTCTTGTAAGTTTCTCATTTTACGTGAGATTTTTCTAGTTATTTTTCACTCGTGCCTGTTTGCATTCTTGCATTCTTTTGCGATGCTTTTTTTTTCAAACAGAGCAGCTACCGAACCTAAGGGGTAGAGCTATCGTTTCCATAGCACTCGCAGGAGGTGACATTCGTAGAATGTGCGGTGGCTAGACATGGAAACTAGCTCTACTTCCAGTGCTCATTATTCCGTTTGCAGGGTCAGCAGTTGCTGCGATTGGGTATTCGTCGTCGAAGTGAGCGTGAAGTTTTGCGTGAACTCTCTGTCTGCAATGGGAATTCAAAAAAGGCGCTGATTGACAAGTTGTTGGCAGTGATGAATATGTGGAACATGAGAGCTACTCTTTTCGATCTAATGCTCATGATCAAGGAGGTATGTTTAAGGATTGTATGAATTGGATTCGTTTTCCTAAGGCCGCATTTCACGATAAGTCGGGTAGATCTGGGTAATTGTTAGCGTGTCTGTATCTCGCGTTCCTTTGTCTCGCCATTCTCTCCTCTCGCCGTACGATGTTTCTTTGTCGTAGCACTTTAGGCCCCACATGAACTACGCTCTCAATACTTTCCGCTCGATTTCACCTGGTTAGATGGATCAGTTCTGAAGCGCTGCGCTGTCCCGTAAAGAAATGCTGGCGCACAATTGCTAAGATCGACGTGGTTACAATCGCGTCTACGATTCTTTGCAGATCTCTCCGGAAGGAGCGCAGAAACATGCACAGCAGAGCGCAATTGCAGCGGATGCTCTCATGGGTGAAATCGGGAAGTGTTGTCGTGATTTGTTCACGAATGCACATAAGGAAGGTATCCAGCTACCATCAGCAATAGTAAGAATTTAATTTTGTTGTACCCTTTTTGCCAATCATTTCACCGTTCTTTTTCAGTTGGGTCGAGATTTCCGCTTTAAGCATGTCACCAACTTTTGGTTGATTGCACTGCTAGTACGCCTGTGTCCTCAACCGAGCAACGTGCCGAACCAATTTCATCATATGACGGTAGTTCTTCTTTTTCTAAAACATTGTAATGAGACTATACAGTAGTGATTAAGGTATCTGGCAAGTTTTTGAAAGAAGCCGCATCTATGTTAGACACGGCCAATGACAGCTCCAAAGAAAGAATACAGCAAAGGTATATTTTTAGTAACTTTTTGTATTGTATTCCTCGAATTGAATTTCCTTGAATTATAATATGCCAATTGCAGTGCATGGCTCCTATCTCAACAACCGTTCCTAAACTTGGTTCTGGCTTGCTTGAAGGGTGAAGATTTCCAACCAAACAAAGACATGCTTGTGTCTTCACTGTATAAGCAGCTTCTCGATCTCACCAGTAAAACAAAAGAGGTGATATTTCAATTTAGTTCTCAACCGTTTATCATTCCATCTAATCTATTTCTATAGAATCCTGCCTTGCCACTTATGGAAAAGTTCTCTGCTGAGCGTGAAGGTCTGCTGCTTCGGCTGTCACTTGTTGGCGGTATCTTCAAACAGGTATGCGATAACTAGTATTGTTGTTTTCGGAGTAAAAGTTTTTTTGTGAATATGCGGTATTTTTATACTTTTGTCATTTCACAATTACGACGAAACTAACACCCAAATCATCAAAATTTTGTTCATGCTAGCTTGCAATTTTGCCCTGTGGAGAAAGCTTGAATTGTGATTAAGGTAATGTGATATCGAATAATGCGAATTTCAGATTTGCCAACCACAGCACAGTGAAGGCTGGTCACACCTTTTCTTCCAAATGATGTTGTATGGTATGGTTTCGCCGGATAAAGATAGGTACGTTTTTTGTTGTAATGTTACCTCATTCGCCTAGTCTTGAAATTCTCAGATGTAGACACCTTTTTCCCATTATTTTCAAGTGGATGGATTTTTCTCCGATTTCCTAGAACAAGTCTATCAATTCGATAATTGTGATATAGTTTTGGGAGTTGTTTGGCGTCAGGCTTTTATATACGTTTTTTGTTGCACGTCTTATGGGTAACCAGTAGACTATTAGTAATTCCATCACTGTCGGAGTAGGTAATATTTCCTTTGTTTTAAAAACGTATACCGACTTTGGAATTTGGAAAAATGCTAACTAAATAAGATATCGATTCTTTTTCGTGCTGTCGCTTGATGCACATGGTGCACCACGCGGGACACAATGGCGCAGGGTTGACCCTTCTACTTTTATGTCCTATCTAGTGTGCTACTCTACTCTTGCAGGATCCTGTACGATTCGTGCTATGATATGCTATCCACTTTAATGCTTTGGACATTGACGGATCCGTCGACCGCAACGCAGCAAATGAGTGAGGGAAGCGAACCAAAATTCAGATGGCCCTACTACTCAATCATTATCAAGAAGTTGAAGGTTAGTTTTGCAGCTCATCCGGCTGTTACATTATCACGTATCACATTAACTAATTTTCAGAAGGAAATAGCAGATCAAAGAGTCCCTCCTGAACTCCGGGCTCTATTGCAATTTTTACCTATACCAAAGAACACAATATCCGTATTCGCCATGGAGCCATATGGTACTCTTTCTGCAACTAATGTTCAAAAAGCTTCAGGGGTAAGCCACCAATAATGACCTCTTCGTATATAAAATCTAAAGTCCAGTTGTCTCGAGCTGGCTGCTTTAACAGCGTTGAAGTCTCTCTAGTCTATTCTTGACTTCTACGACTTTGCCCTTTGCTCAATCTCTGTGATTCGAGAACTTGAAGATAATCTTTAGGGAGCTGCTCGTCCTGCGAGTCTTCCGGCATCAGCTCCTCAAAGTGGCTTACGCCGTGGTCGACATGCTTTGCAAGTGAGCGAGAAGGTGAAAACATCCAGCTACGATTTCATCCATGCTTACATTAGTGAGCAGAACACCAAAGGAGGATGGAAGTGGAGCTGGTTCCAGGTTCGTTACTAGCGTTTATTTCAAACTATCTGTACTTTAGAATACTGATTGACCAGATAGTTCTGGTGCTCCAAAATTAATGGAGCTATTGTAGTAGCACTAATTTACAGTTCACATCTGAGACTGAAGTGATCATGTTTCAGGGTTCGAAGCTCGACCGTCTTCCTTGTCCGGTGCAGAAGTGGGTAGCCAGACTGTTAGTTCACAAGCATCAGCTGGAGTATCAGCGACCTAATGCAGTCAGTTTTTCGTCGAATAATTACTTGTTTTTGTTTTATTGTTTATCGATTTTTTTTATGTCGGGGAGTAAGTCTAGATTGCTTCACATTTTCATTGCATTCATCTTGTGTTTTTGACCGTTCGTCGTTCTCATTTTTTATCATTTTAGGTAATCACTGAGGCAAGCGATCATTTTCTCTCAGCTCCTGCTGTAGAGGCCACTGGAGAAGCCCCGGCGTTGTCAGTATCAAGTGCGAATACACCTGGTGTAAGTGTTTTGAGCAGACTCTCTGAACTTTCTTGGAGACGGATTCGCTTAGCGTTTTCATCAGAGGACTGAAGGAATGGGACATTGGCCCCTTCTCTTCAAGATAATTCGAACTCATGGGTGTTTTTGGCGCCGCTCTATCGAGCCCGCTGAAGCGTTCTCCACCTCCACGCAGAGTTCTTCTTTCTGAATATTTTGCTTCACTTGTCATCATCAAGCTGTTTTTGAAAAATTATTATGTTTCCATTATTGTTATCAGTAACAGCTGAACATGCTGCACCCATTCTCTTGCTATAGAATTGGTTGTGTTACAGACTCAAACACCAGCAACACCGACGGCATCTAGCGGCGGCGCATTAGAGGCAACGACGCCTGGAAATGAGGTGTGTAAGGGTTTGGTCTCGATCTTGCTTGATTTATTTATTCTTTGCCCTCAGGAACCAATCTCTTCTCTGAGTTCTGCAGTCGGCACTCCAACCAGAACGGATGTTCCAGTTGATGAAGTTACACCAGAGCAAAATCGTAATCGTATGTCCATCTGTATTTTTGTCATGTTTGTGAACCCGTTTCTGAAGTTGAGCAAATGCAGTGTCCTTTGTTTCAGTTTCCACGGCGTCTAAGCCGGTAGCCTCGCCTCGCGCTGCAGCCCGTGGCGGTCGTAAACGAGGGAACATCAATCGTCAGCATAATGCTGGGCCTCGACAGAAGAGAGTAAGCTTTTGGTTCTGTTCTTTCCCGGTTTATTGATATTTTTCTGTTACGATAGATTCTCTATGTAATTCTTCTTACAGTCCGTTTCCCGCAATGAGCCACCTGGACCATCTCTTGCTGCATCATACAATCAGCAGTGGCATAGTGGCGGTCCGAATCCTGGTAACCCTACTCTGTCTCAGGCAGATTCTGTTGCTTATCCTCAACATCAAGCGCAACAGGTCTGCAACAAATTTCTATCAATCAGCTCAATGGTTCTTCATCTTCAATAAAATCTTAGGTGTCGTCCAACGCTGTCAAGGATCCTACTAAAACGAAAATTCAAGAATGCATAAATAAGAAACGACTTGAAGCAGCTCGGATTTCTGGTAAAGCTCATCTGTTTATCCCTCTTTTCATGGGTGTTGTAAAGACTGCTTGAATAGTAAATCGACTTTCTCATTTTTTTCAAATCATTTTTTAGCTGGTTTCCCTGGTCCTACATCGTCCCAGCCTTCCACGATTGGGCCAAATATGGCGCAAGCGTCGTATTCGGACACTGGGTTCAACCAAGCAGCTAACAACCGTACGGTCCCAGGTCTGAAAATTTTGTTCTTAAGCTTTGATTTTTCGAGTGTCCTTTTAATCAAGGTTTACAAGTGGCCAAAGTGATATTCCATTTATGAAACTACCAAAAATCACAATGGTAGTCCTGAAGTGGCAATAATAGCTAGGAGTTGCTTAGAGCTTTCTTAGGACGTGCTTGATCAGGTGTCCCTGGCGTTGAAACGAGAATTTGTAGCCCATGTTTTAATGGGTTTTATTTCCTTAAAGCTAAATTTATGTGTGTGTAATACTACGACTATTAGGAATGCGAAGTTCAAACTTCTAGCACAAGACTTGACATGGCAGAGTATTGGTGATTCCAGGTGATTACCAAACTCATCAAAATCAGAACAACTTCCAACAAAACAGCGGTCAACATCTTCAAACAATGCTGCAACAGTCGTCCCAATCAATGGATCCATCCCATCAGTCTCAACAGCAGCAGCAACAAGTGCAACAACAACAGCAGCAGCAGCAACAGACAACAAGTGACAGCAACAGACAACAGCAGCAAACAACAACAGACAACAACAACAGACAGATGCGTATTCAGCCAGCAGCCTCATCATCAGATGCCTGCCCATCAACAACAGCAGCAGCAACAACAACCTGTTCAACAGTCTTCATCGGTTGTACAACATTCAATGCAACCACAAGTGATGCAGCAAATGCAGCATCACATGCCGCAACAAATGCCTCCTGGTTTGCAACAGTCTCACATGGCATCGTCTCAGCAAATGCAGTCACAGCAGTCAATGCAACAACTGCCGCAACAGTCGCTTTTGCAACAACAGATGGGCCAGCCACTTGTGCAGCAACAACCAAGATCAACTAATAATCAAGGTAAATGGTATTTCTATATTTCATTTTCCGAGAATATACCCGCCCTATTAGACGTCCCACTACCTGTTCATCCGCGGCTCCTTACCATATCTGCATACATGTCATGAGCTGTGGTGATGACTTGGATATTGACCATCCTCATGACTGCGTCACATCAGGCGCGGGACCTTCCTCGATACGTTGATGTCGCACCCTTGTCGCGGCTGGAAAGTTCGCGACAAAGGCGCTAGAACCTTACTCGTCCCGCAATCCACTCCTTCGTCCGCAAGCCCCGCCTTCTGCCGCCGACTGCCACGTGACGCTTCCTGAAAAGCGCGGGTGCACTGCAGTTCACCGTCTCTGGCATTGGAGCAAGTAGAGCTGGGTCCGTGAAAGTCCTCCAACACGCCCCTTTTACATCTCAAGGTGGAATGCGGCTGAAATAGAGGATGTCCTCATTCGGGGCGTAATCGGAGGCTTCTTTCGCTTTCTTTCTATTTTGCAGATTACTGTCCACCTCTAGCTTTCTTAGTGAACGCTCTTTCACACATTTTTTTTTATCCCGAAGCTTGCCTTTAAGTTTGTGTCGCATCCATCTGCGATAAGCAAGTCGCCGTGTACTAAACCTTCAGTTATCTGAGTATCTTAAAAATAACTTGACAGGGGATGAGATCTTGTTTTTACTTGTGGATGTAACCTTTTTTTTGGTAGAAAAATAACAAATATTGATAGGTATGGGATTTCGTCTGTGTACAACTAAGCAGTTGTTTTCAGGCATGGTGGCTAGTCAGCAGTTTGCTCAGGGAGGCGGTTCAGCTCAACATCAGAGTGGTATGGGTGGTCCGATGCAGATGAATTACCAAGGGCAACCACATACGGGACCACAGCAGCCGCAACAGCCACGCAATCCGATGGGTCAGTTTGCCTCCAGAGATGGAACAATGAATGTGGAGTATCAGCAAGGTATTGTCTGCGGAACTCGGAAGCGTAGAGGAATCGTACTGTTATTCATTTAGGCAATCGTGGAGGCCGTCAGCAACTACAGATGGGTGCCCAACCTGGCGTAGTTCGTAATGGTATGCCGGGTACACAAATGAGTGGCCAGACGCACATGGGATCTCAGCATGTTCCTGATGGTCATCAGATGATGACGCAGCAAATGGGAGGAATTCCTGTGGGTGCGCAACAGATGCCACATCAAATGGGTCAAGCTCCGATGTCAGGGCAGCAGTATTACATGCAACAGGACCAAAGGTACTTTTCCTTGCTGCTATATTACCGCTGCTTGAAGCAGTCAAAATGTTTGAAAAGTGGGATGCAGTGCGTTAGAACAATCTACTGTTCGGCATGAAGTGAAATAAGGGGGGACGGCTTTATTTTTTTTGACTTTCGTTTTTCTTTGCGTAGCTTTTGCTTTCAGAATGCTGAATCAGCCTTACAATCAGTACCCACAGAACAACCAGTTCTAGTATCTGTGTTGCATAACTGCGGAGTACAAGATTCGTTACGGGTGTTACTATAGTGATCAAATTGGTTTAGTAGAGAATAGGTCATAATCCAAATGGTGCTATTGTTTTAATTTTAACCTTGATTAATTAACCTTCTAATTTGTTTTACGTTACAAGACTCACAAATTCTACTGTGTTAGTTTTATAGATTATAATTGTACATACTTGTAAAGTCTACATTTGGGCTTGTATTGTGATTATTTCACGTTGACCTTATAGAGTGCTGTCGTCAGTGAACAGCTAAGTGCATTATAGTAGGGAAGTTTGAAATGGTTCTTGTAACATTATCCCAGCACTCGAAAAAAAAGGTCTCAACCTCGTTACTAAAGATTTGTATTTACATTGTATGTTTTATAGCATTGTATGTTTTATAATTTATCATGATGTCGTTTTAAGCATGTTGTATTAAGCACGTTAATTTATGTTCTTCGTTGGAGGAATTCTCCGGAATGTATCGAATCTGTACTTCTGTATTTTGTGATAAAATGACTTACATCGTTGGTGAAGTGTATCGCTGTACCTGTATTGACGGTCCTATTTCTATATGGTTCATTCGAAATTCTTGAAGTGGTTTCATGCGAGCTTGGTGACAGTGAGATTCGGGCAAACCCATGTTCGGGGTTTTTTGTCTCTGATGGACAAATCCGGTAATAAATGGTAAATTTCGTTTAGTCAGGAAACCTCATTGGTGGAGCCAGTTTCAATTGCGGCAGTGTGGCGCAGCGCTTGTATCCCCAAGTTTATTTTTTGCGAAGAGGGTCTCGCTAGTACAACACCCTCGACCTGTTGTCGATAACGCATGATTTTCAGTGTCATTTAACCATCGGAAGTTTTGATGGTAATTAAGGTTGTTGAATTCTCAAGCGTTGTGTCCAGGGGTGCTTGGATTTCCTTAACCAACTAACGACAGTGTGATCCACCGGCGAATCACAATTTTGCGCGGGTGTGGATCGTTTTGTTCGATTCATCTGGCATTTTGGCGTGTTCCAAAGCAGCCCGTTTGCATAACGAATCCGTGGGACAATGTATAAAACTAGCGATAAATTCTCCCGAGGGTTGGCGGCGAAGAAAATGTGTAAAAAGGTGCCGCAATACACACACACAACGGCGGTCGTCAGTAGGTAAAGATGCGCCCTGCGTTAAGCGCACGTAAGCGGAATAATAGGATCTGTCGAGTACATGCTTGAACGGTTTCGGCAATCGTTGTTTGCGTTAGAGTATTCTGTTTTTTCATACGCTTTCATTCCCGAATAGCGGACCCAGTTTTGACGGAATCCTTAGCTGGCGCTGAACTAAAAATGGATGCGGCAGAACAATGTCACAGTTGGCGCAGTTCACACCATCAGAGGCTCTGAATCTGGAAGTATCCAGTACGTTGAGTTTGCTGCTCTTTTTCTTCTATTGTACATTGCAAAGCTGGCTTTTGGTGACCAGTTGGGTAATGCGCAGTACGGAACTTTTGTCGCTGAAAAAGTATAAACATTCACTTCTTCATATGTGAAGTTATGAATCCTGTATTTGCACAATCCTTCCAGGTATGGACCACCATCGGCGCATAACTCTACATGATAAGCGACGGGTTGTTATTCAGAGAGATTATTCATCTGGGCTAGATATTAAATTCAGTTCCTACTACCCTACCGATCTGAGCTCAAAGGTAAGAATGCTGTTGGAACTTTGGAAAAGTATTCTTCTATCTCCGAGTCTCAGTCTTGTCTCATCCAAGTTGTAATCATATGACTGTAAAATTTCGGAGAGTACCCAGTCTTTAGAAGACTCGAAAACAGTTCTTTCAACAAAATTCCGAGCCCTTCAATATGAATTCCTTCCGTTTCACGATGCTACAACACATTGTGTTGCTGAAATTTTCCACTCTCTTCTTTTTCATGAATGTTTGGTTACCCTTGAAACGGGGGTAACCAAACATTAAATTTTGAGGTGCTAAACACTTTGTATTCTGCAAGGCCATGGACTGTTGCAGAATAAATGCTCCTAGACGCTCTCGAACTCGGCTGTCTAAAAAGCGGCTTATGGCTCCCATACACCCAAACTTTTGTCACACTGATCGATTCAACCACCCTGGTGTCCCACCTCTTCCAACGCTCAGCTTTAGGGCTCTCGCCTTTCTCTTTGGGGTTTGGAACCCGGCCAGGAGTCGCTATTTCATCGTATGTGCTCTAGCTAATCGCAGCACAGAACATGGAAGAGGTTTAACTAGTCACGTAACTTTCTGTTACGAGGTGCATGACGTGGTACACGCGTCGATGGTTTCGGTGAAAAGGTCTACCGTGCGTGCATCGAGATATTCTTGATCTGAAGCCACATACACACCGCGCATACACACGAATTCCTATAACTGTGACACTCCTGGGTCCTGGCTACGGAAGCGGTGATTACATAATTAAGGTAAGGGGGATGAGGAGGGAGGAAACGGAGGGCGAAGTACGAAATGTTCCAGTCCAGCGTGGCAAGAAGGCAGGATGAGTCACAAGACCCGTTGTGACTCATCCTGCCTTCTTGCCACGCGGCGGGAAAGCAGAGACGCAGACGATTCAGCGGACGAGTCCTGTTGTGTACACCTCCTGCGTTAGCACCTAGGAGCCAAAGTAGGCGCAATGTGGCTCGGGGGGGGGGGCAGTCGCCGCGCGCGGCTCAGCGATGTAGTGTAACTCGAACATTCCAGCTTCTCACGCATACTAAGTGGCTGCCCTCACCCCGATCCCCCTGAATTGGCTACATTCCCCTGGCTCACGAATTCCCTGTTGCCGCAACGCCGCGCGCGGGTCCAACCTCTCACCCAGCGAGCCACATTGCGATGCCAAAGTAGTTATTGTTATGGCATGAACCATGATTCAAGAAACCACAGCGGTAAACCATAGCTGATCTGATTGTGAGCGGTTACTGAAAGGTGTGTAGTATTAAATGAGTGGCATTGGCAGGAGGATATTCGAGAAATGGGGGCATTTCCATCTCTTTCCCGTCCATCCCTATCCTATCTATCTCAGATTTGTGAAAGACCAGAACAGTGTTGTCGCAACACGTGAGTGTTGATGATGGGGCTTAATCTGCCGCGCGGTGCGATATTTGCGTTTTTCACGGAACGAAACGAATTTATAGTCGAGTGACGGCGGCCATGAACTCTTAATGATTTAGTTCTAGTATTTACAAAGCTGTTTCTTTTGAAGATCGATGAAGACACGTGGAACAAATTCATATGTGAGCTTAACTACCGGTATGAGATTGCGGAGAAGGTATCTTCAGCAACTGTGATGGAAACGATTTTTGGCTGCCTTAGCTGCTATTTGATAAAGTAAGTTTATGTGAGTTGATTCATGACACCTACCTGAATTCGTGCAGGTGGCGAAGAGGCAGTGAGTCCAAGCGCAGGAGTGGTGACAATGCCGCCACTCGAAAGTGCGAGGCAACGGCGCTAAGGCCATGCCTTGTGTGTTGCCGTGCTGCCATCCGGCAAGCGTGGCGTCTGCGGTCTCTCGCTTACAACGTGTTTCTCGCGTTTTCCTCTCCTCGTTACGCAGTGTCTCTCCGGCATATCACGGTCAATCACAAGGGACATTTCAGTGTTTCTAATGAACGTAGCATGTTTAATCGAGCACGATTTATCGGGTCATGGTGTAGCTGCATTACTTAACACAGTAACCGGCTGTTTTTTTTTCTGTGCACCTTGCCATGAAAAAAAAATCGGGCTATAAGCAACCAATAGTCAGAAAGACCACAATTTCATGGTAGTGCGCTGAATCGCCATGTATTGCGACCGCTGTATCTGACTAGGTTGTGGATACATGTTAAAGAATCGAGATCTGAATCACTTATGTTTTGCTGTTTAAGCAGTCATCGACAAATTTCAGACTTTGTAAACGACCTTCCTTCTACAAACAACTAGACGAAATAGCTGAATTTATTGAATATTGCAATCGAGATATACTTATTCCACGAGGTCTGTATGCGAAAAATCCCATCGAAAAAGGATTTCGTGTTGTGAGTTGTTATTTGTTCGAGAGATTCCTTCTGCAACGAGAGGCTATTAGGTTGAGGTTATGAACATGTGTTCATGCTGTATATACAGCTAGAGTTTGATCGGCTTTGTTGTTGTAGGCAGTTCGTTCATTTCACCAAGCGAGTATAAGTTGCCTTTGGCACAAGTATAGCATATAGCTCCAATAGCGTGTTCGGTACTGGGTGGGGCGGGTTAGGAGGCCCTGTGTTTTTGGTGAACTTCGATTTAAAAGAGGATTCCACGATAAGAACGAAGGTCGAGGAAGGGGAAACTTACCTAGTGGAGAGGCAGGCGAACCCTCTAAGGGTGCAGACCAACACGCAATTCGCATCGAAGGATATGCTCCAGCGATCTGGCATACCTTCCTTGGCGCAGTTTGCACGGAACGCCCACCGGCATAGCAGAGAGAGCGTTAGCATTGAAGACTTCACGGTGAGAGTCGAATCAATGAGAAAATTGATGGGCAAGATAGGGGTCTTATTTCTCGGGTTTCGGGCCGTTTCAACTGGTTTCTTCTTCATTCCTGCTTCACTGACCTTCCCTACCCTTATTTCCAATGGGCTGCCTTTTCATCGTGGAAACCGCCCTATGATTCCTCATGAGAAGCATGTTCCTCAACTGTCAAATGACGCGCACGGTGTCGTGCGCAGCTGAAACTGGTAATATGAATATATTTAGTATTATTTGCAAATACTCAACCAACTCGAAACCGGCCTGAGTCCTCTGTATGCGACAGTGGTCTCCAAATAACCCGGATCTAGACCCGCTGAATCATTCCGTTTGAAGTATCTTGGAGGCAAAGCCTACCACTCTCCACACTCAATAGGAATTCTCCAAAGTTACCTGAAGAAAGCTCGGGATGATTTGGACGTTGATTACCTGCGCCGGACGGTAGATGCTTTCCGTCGCCGTCTTCGTCAGTGTGCCCAGAATAACTGCGATGCTACCAAATTTTTAGAAGGCATTGAGATCCGCTTGTTGGTCACCTAATTTTTGGGTAAAACTCATGCTGGCTTTTTTTTGGTACAGCACGGATCTGTCCTGCGGTCAATACTTTTACCCTGTGGAGTGCGTGGCGCATCCCAAAAGGGGATTATACGACGTTCAGTACCTCATCTTTTCTCTGTTTGTTGCCTTCATTGGTTTGACATCTATTAAATTGGGCTTCTGAGAGGTTTTGGTGCTTTCTGGTGGTAATGCCTACGATAATCTTGATAACCCTTCTAGTTCCTCGTATTGTAGAGCTACGAATATAGTACATGAATTTGCATGTAGCTTTAACAGAGCTTTAGAACTAAACAGATTGATAACATTTAATCTATTGGTATTCAGCTGGAGATCTACCTTATCTATGAGCCGTACGATTCAAAGATGGAGGTCTGCCATGATGTGACGAAAGCGCCAAAATTAGTACCCAGATTGTGAAAATAACAACATTAGATAAAAATAACTAGATAGATGAATATATAAAATTAAGTAACAACATTCTTGTAAAACAACAATAATTTCTCTTTCGTACTTCTTGCCGTTTTCAATACTTGTAATTCGAATGTTCTCAATCTCACTGTTTTCATTGAAAGAATCTTTGCTATTGTTACTGTTATCTTATAATGTTTTTATTGTAGAGTTTTAGTAATGGTAAATATAAGCGTGGGATATCCCCCGTCAGGAAGGCCCCTCGCGCGCAAGAAGGCTGAGTTTACGGACGGAGTCGCGCGCGTATTAGGGAAATTCGCGCCAACGGTAAATAGGAATGTTCCCATTGCACGTCTCAATCGTCAATACACGCGCCGCGACTCTTCCGCCGAATCGGCCTGCTTGCTGCGCGGTGGGCCTTCTGGGGGGGTACCTTAATGTGTGATGTTCTTATGTACTTGCGTGCACTTTACTCTGGTCTATCAACTGTATCTATTCTGTGAGCATAATGTTATTACTGCATCGTTCATGTCAGATTGAATCTTGTTTACTCATGGGAGTGCTGACTGTACAAAATGAAAAGCTGTTCTATTTATATGCTTAATAAAAATACTATTCAGGCTATCTGGTGGCAGTCACCTAAGGCTGGAAGCTTGGCCCCACACTTGTACAATTTTACTTTTTTCCAGTGGACTGCGTAGGGGAGTATTGTTCAGTGTCGTAGTTATTCCAAATGAAGTTTTCCTTCAATACCCTCATTGGGACCAGATAATTGAAATATGGGAGAGCAAGTATCGGTTTGAGATCCCCTGCATCAGGTTTAGCCATGACGTTGGTACGAATCTGAAGAATACGATCTCCTTCCTACCATCCGCCCTCATTACCGTACCTTTCTAGCATAATTTCCTCCAGAATTTCTTCAGAACCGCCGTCGAGCGAAGGGGAGAGGGGTACATATACTGCTGTAGAGACAAATTATTTACATTTCCCGATCTACAGTCCATTACCTTTTTGCAACTGCCATCCTCTCCAAATACGATCCCTCTTCCAAAAATCCACGACCCTCAGTTATGGTGAATTACCGATAGGCAGACGACTGTACAGGCCACAGGGCATTAGAGTAGCCAGCTTGGGATACGTTGTTATCTAACCATCGAGTCCCAATCCCCAAGTAAACATCCCAGCTACTACCTTAAGCGGACTGTGTTCTCCTTCCGTCAGGCTAGATCCGTGCTAGATGCGAGACGGTTATAAGTGTTACCGTAGGGGGAACGACAACGCTCTAATGGAAAGGCCTTTAGGTCACCATGATTCAAGAAGTGTGTGCATCTAATTATGCTTTGAAACGCTGGCCTCAAACTGCTTACCAAATTTGCTAAACGATTTTCCAACGCAGTTACGAAGCCGGAGAGCGCAGCGGTAGTGGTCCGGCTCTAAAGCAAGAAACGTGGGATCGGGTTTTTCATGGTACGTCTTTGTTTTCGTTAGGAACATTCATGGAAATATTTCTTGTTCGTGTCATTTTATCGATGCTTGCCCATGTTACCCGGCTCTATAGTGGTATGATGTTGTTACGATGATGTTAGATGCTATCCCGCTAGAGAGTAGAATTTTTTCAAGTGTAATGTTCCAGTTGCAGGAACCGTAAAGAAAAGGGAAGTCAATACACTCATGAGTGTTAACCTTTAGGAGTGCACACTCAACCTAAATTTGGTGATTCTTCCTTACTCGTTTCACAGTGAAGTTAGAGTACTGCTTGCATTATCGAAGTTTTGGCAGCAACGCCGGCCATTGCTCGTTCCCTCGCCGCCGCTCTGACGCCAAAATGACGTCATAAACACGCGAACGCGTCCGCGCTGCCGGTGAGCATTTCTATGGAGCCTTGCAGTTTCTCTGGCAGCATACGAAGAATTTTGTAGGGCACCATGCCGAAGCATAATGATACACATCAGGGAGCTTTATTAATAATCTTAGCACACCTGAGCTACACGAACATGAAATAAGGAAATGAAGCTGTAGAACACGCATGGAAACAATGAGAAAGAGAAAATAAGAAAATGAAATTGTAGAGCTTCAAGAAATATACAAATATGGTTATACAGGAGTGAATGATCGAAAGATCGGGTATTACCGTATAAGATTAATACTATTGTCATTATGACTATTATTATTATTATAATAATTATTATTATTACTATTAATAATGCTATTGTTATTGTTATCGTTATTACTGCAATTATTATTAATATGTTATTATTATTTCTATTCCTAATTCTATAGCTTGTGATATTATTCATATCACTAGTCTTGGTATTCTTAGAAACGCTATCATGTAATAACTACATTAGAAAAGTAGGGAAAACAATTACAATTACACTTACAATAGGCAAGTGGAATAAAAGAAACTGCAAGATCATTATGCTGAGCAGAATGAATGAAGGTAGCGAACGTGTGTGACTGACTAGCAAACGATTCCTCAATTTTGTGAACATTCACTTGCAAATGGTGCTATGTCCATGGTGTCCATTTCATCGTTGGCAATTTTCTGAACATGAAAAATGATAGGGTTGTCTGGAAGGCGTAACTGCTCTTCTCATGTGTGTTTCAATAGAGAAAAGAGATGATGGCGGATGATACTAGATGTGGGTGTGTCAAGAGAACACGTCGCGCGCGGCGCGAAAAGAAAAGCGACACCATTTTTGGAAGTAAAACGTTGCATGCATTGAACTGGTTGACTCCGTGCTCATACTGCCAACGAGAAAGAATAACGGTCGAGCGATTCCTCGACTATGAAGGCTCTGTACTGTGCGAGAGTGGTACCGAGAGTGAACGTACTCGTGGAGAGCGCAGACAGCTCGCGCATGGCGAGTGTGAATGTCGGCGCGGGAGAGCGTAACTGATCAAAGGAAAATCCTCGACAAGCCTGTGAGGATTCCTTGACCGATATCTCCTCTGCTGCCAACTGGAGCATTGAGGAATCTACTAAGCGCTCACTAATCGAGATACCGACAACTTTTTTGTTCTACAAGCCACCGAATTGGCTCTTGAGGAACACCCCTCAGCCCGCTTTCTGATTATTCCTCTGAAGTTGTCTAAATTGGCTAACGCAATAATTGATTACTCACTCTTTTCAAAAACGACACAAGTTCAGGATTGTCTTCGTCGAAGAACTTATCGACGTCTCTTACGACTAGTGCAGCTTCTCGACATGGCCCTGAATACAATCTACCATGAATATCTGTCATTGAAAAAAACTTTTGAGAGGAGAATCTTACCGTTGCCATTGGTCACAACCATGTACTCGTATTCGAATGTGCCGGAATACTTGAGAACACACACTGAAAAAGCGTGGATTGCAAAACAAACAAAACGTTGTTGCAGTAAACTGCATTTTCTCCGAGTCATGGACTGCAGAACTGATAACATCTGCTGCCGTCACTCCCTCTCGCCTGTGATTGGGCTAGCTCGCGCTTGCAAACAATTACAAACGGGCGTGAAGCCATTCACAGACGAGTGGGCGTGGTCGACCACACTTGTGTTATTCGGAAACCTCACACTCAAAGGGCTCCTTCAAAACAGAACTGTTCAATTGTCTTTGACTCACTTGGTACTGAGAAAATCTCGTTTGATGGGTCTCGCAGTTGTAATCGAACCGACTTATGGTCCATGGAGAGTGCACTACCAGTGAGCTATAAAGGGGACAATTCGGTGGAAAAATTGACTTGATTTCTTGCTCTCAATCTTGATGGAATTTTGAAATTAATCACAAAGTTACCCGGTAATGTTTATGCGATCCAGTAGTTCGAAATTCCCATGATATTCGGGCATCTTGCGCGACATCAGATATCTTCGGTGTCAACACTAAAACAATTATAGATTGTGTAGAGCTACTATGTATTGTATTGTGGGGATATCCAATAGTTGCTGTTTCATCCTGACAAAGTCAGAGGTTGGAGGCGAAATCGTACCCAGTGTAGGCTCGCTTTTTCGTTTTTTCATTTTCGAAAAATTACGGGAAATTTTATTCATTACTGACAATATTCACAATTTTTCTTTTCCTTCTTTTCTTCGTTTATGCAGTTTCATGTATCCGCCCTCCTCCCCTCCTTCCCGATATGTGCACCATCTCCATGTAGAAAGTGGGTGAAAGTGAAAGGAAGGTGAAAGTTTTGAAATGGACCAGACGCCACAGTTGATCTTTCTTCTCGTGTCAGGTGACATCCATGTCCAGCTACTCCCAGTGAGCTATAGAGGGTGGCGCTCACAATTTAGATCTAACCATAAAAGTAACCAGCGGAAGGTTTAAAGGATTCTGAGACAAAGAAATTCTAATGATTGGCTGTGTTCACAGAGCGATACTCTAGGCTCCTTCCCGAACGCTTTTTACAAGTCAATTGGTGGATAGCCACCCCCCCCCCCCAATCGATAATTATTCTCGATTATATGAAAGTTTGGAAGCGAAAAGAGCTCAAGATTTGTTCAAATTTTCCCATCATTCCGAGAACAGCCTTCAGCAAGACATTACTACTGAATGCATGTCTCAAAAAAAGATGAGCTTGAACCTCATAAGCCATCTTCTCCCATCCCACTCCAGGCAGCTCTAGCACGGTGATTATATTTACCATTCATGATTTTCATGAATTTAATGTTGACCGTCGCCTCACTTTCTTCATCTGAGCTTTCAAAATCAGGCCAGCTCAGCCAGCTCGACCCTGGTGCAGTGTTCTTCAATTACTGCTACCTCTTTGGAGCCCTAGCTGGACGTTTTTCAAATATCCCACACAAACACGCTCAATCTTTTCTTCCAACATTTCATTAAAAGGAAACGTACAAGTAAAGAGGAACTCACTGGTCATTCTGCTGCAGCTCAGTTGAGCATTCGCTTCTTTCGGTAGCATTTTTCTTAGTTTAGCTCGCAGTTTCTCTATGAGTGCCTTCGACGCCAGAGCCATTGACCATTTGCCTTTCATTTTTTGAAGAGAAATCCTTTCACATTTACATGATGAAGTAAATTCGTCATTGTCCTCCCTGAACATTGTGATATTAGTGCGAATAGGAATAATGACCGTCTTGTTATTGTTTTGCCATAGGCTACTTGAGTACAGATCGATTTTGCAGTTGCTTGCTTTACCCCATGCCTTAAAGACGGCAGCCACAATGAAAAGGCAGTTTATTGGAAATTGAGATACTGTAGATCAGTGGTGCACGAAAGAAGGAAAACCAAGAAAACGGCCTAAAACCCGAAAATGGGACCCCTTCCTTGCCCTTGAGGAACGGCCGTACTTGCTGGTGACCGCTTCATGGTGAAGGGTCTCGCATAGGGCCTTCTCAAAAAGGGGGAGGGCAAAATTTTCGGTCGAGTGCGAAGGCTGACACTGATGGAATGTGCTGTGTTATTGCCCTGGAATCGTGACTAATCAGGGCAAAGCAATATTTGTCGAATATAGTAGGACAACTCTAATGACGTATGCTATTCATTACTAGAAACGCAGAACCAACTCTGACTGAGACTGAGACTTCACGGTCCTCGCCGGCATGTGATTCCTATTCGCACTCGCCACGACTTTTGGCCAAAATTGGTTCACAGCCACCGTTGAAGCAACATCTTCGTCTTTCTCCTTGAAAAATGATGTAATGTTTCAAAGACCATATTCTGAATTAGGACATTTTTTACGAACCTGAGTTGAATCGCTGCTTTCTGGAACAGATTTTGCCATTTTCGCAGAAGATACGTCGGCGTCTGTACTTTCGCTTGAACGAGGCGGTAGTGTAGGGGCATGCAGGCGTTCTTTCGACATTACGGTTCCCAGAGCCATGGACGGAGGGAAGGTGCTATCTGAGCTTGAAAAAAGTTGTTCTTTCTTACAGAAACACTTAAAGATTGTTGTAAAATTTTTGACCAAGGGTTTGAATAAAACGCCGAAAAACGCCTTTGATATTATAACGGGTTCTTTTTTTCTGTATGCTCAGGCAAGACTGCCAATTTTCAACGCATCTCGAACTGTATGTCTAACGAAAGTCAAAGCTTCCCAAGAATGCTCAGCACTGTTTTGAAACGCTGTCGAACTGAGAGGTGACAGTATATATCAGCAGTATATCAGCAGAGCCAAGGCAGCGTTGATTGTTTTTGAAATCAACGTGTTTTCAAAAGGTCTGAAGATTGCTACTAGGTCTCCGCTTGCGTTGGTTCCCAATGACCTGCTGCTGTCCAATATAGCCCTCCATGTGGGCAAACGGTACCTTGCTACTGCTGCCGCGTCGAGAGCGAAGGAACTGGGGGTAGTAAGTGCTTATCCGAAGTTACGGGTCGAAAAAACCTAGCTAGAACGTGTCTTTTCAAGAGCTGATGTCCTTCCAATACGCCCCTCCCCCCTCAGAGAGCGAAATACCTTTCCGCACTCCACGTTCGCGCAACGTCGAGGTTTTCTCAACTTTGGCTCACTCTGGCCCGAACGCCCACTATGGAATGCAGCCTTAACGACACACAGATCCCCTTAGTGGCGCCAAACAAACCTGGCTGTCGCACAGTTGCGATCTTATTATCAACGTGCGATGTCACAATTAAATGTTGCCCTGGTAAGAAAATTGAACGAATAACTTTCTTGCTTGAAATGCAATGAACTGACCAAAGGAGGTGCCGGTGGAAAGGCCGATCCAGACAGCTCTAGAGGTATAAGTGGCATTTGCGGATCCTTGAATTATATTTCTGATGTGAATGTATGTACATTCAAGCAACGATGAAATAGCTCACCCTCGAACTGCTGAATGAGTTGTGCCACATGCTGAGTTGTTGCTGAAGTTGAAGTTCCATTGCCTGCCTTTGAACCTCCAGTTCTTGCTCCTGGAGTTGGGATTGATCTCGCATTCAGAAAAATTTCTCTGATTTTACTAAGACAACCTTTTTTCTAAGCTCTTCCTCCAATTTTCTTTGCTCCTCAATTTTCTTCCTCTGCTCAATGAGCTCGTTCTGTAGTATTTGCAGCTGTTTTCGCTTAGCGATCAATTCCTTGGTTTGAAGGCTCTGCTCGTAGTTTTGTAGAATATTTTGTAATTGCCGAATGTGCTGGAATTCCACATGTGTGAGTAAACACTTTGCCCCAATTCCAAAGAACATACCTCCACATTCATCACGCTACCAGTACGTAAACTAGTCACCACTGCATTCACTTCAGGATCAAGCGACGTTTGAGAAAACGAAGCGGGAGCACTCCCGAGGAGTGTGTCCGGCATGTCTAGATGGTTGGACATATAGAATATCAGACTCACTCACAGTATGAAGTTCTTTTCTTCAAATGACACAGATGATAGGATCTGTCGGTGTTTTCAACTGTCTCAACATTACCTGAAGGAAGCAGTCGAACTTACACGCATAGTCACGATAACAAAATGCGGAGTTTCCGCACGAGCGTGAATGTAGAGAAGCGAAGTCGGAAATGTAAGAACCTCTTTCGCTTTGTGAGGAGAACTGTGCTACATCTGCGAGGTACTGAGGGCCGAGCATAGAGAGAGCAAGCGAAGGGTTCAGGCGAGCGAACGCTGACCCGGCGCTCAGAGCTACTCCGGTTTTCTACGACTCCTCTAGCTATGTTGTGAAAAGACGTAGACCAAATTGGGGAGCACTTCCGCGACTACTTGTCGCACAATCTTGCTGCATACGGCAAGCGATGAATTTGCGCGACATAATACTATTTACTATTAGTGAGATTACGAAGTCTGATGAGATAAGCCGTTTAGACAGAGTTAGCACCCGAAGTAAGCGTAAGTTACGATGTTCCTGCCATAATTGTACAATGCGTGTCGCATCGACGCGATTTACGCAACGACGATCCTATGGGTTATGCTCACAGTGAGGCTAACCCCGCTAGGCAGCAATCCAGGAATAGATGGGCGTCGCAGCGTTCGCCTCGCCGCTCGCGTGGCGAGGCTGAACGCTGGCTAGCGCGCGCTCCGCCAGAGGTTATCCTTCGGGGGCCGCGCCAGACTAGTGCGCGAGGGCCACTTGGGGCAGCTGCGTGGCCATCTCCACTTCTAGCCATTGAACGGCGCTCAGTATAGATTGGAAGGGTGTTTGGCTCGACATATTCTTCTCCTTATGAGAGAGCGCAAGAGAAAACGAATAGTGTGAGGCGAGCACGACACTTCAGCGGCGTTAATGGTCGAAATTGTGCGTGACTACAGCCAGAAAACTTATATTCACAGGTTTACTTCGCGATGACTCGTTTTGTTAACGCCTTAAGTCAAGTCGATGGTGACCGGCACTGATAACCCGGAACTGATTGGCGAGCTTCAGTGCAACGTGATTCGGTAGCAGTCACTATCGGACTGTAAAAGGGCTTGTCTATTGACTCTAGGAGGTTCGTCGCATTTTTGTTCTTATCTTCGTCCCTTTCTTTTGAGCGTTTGTTTTCTCTCTTTTGTACTGGTTTTGTTTCGGGGTTTGTTGACTGGTTTCAATATCCTCACTGATGTTGTTTTTACGTACTGTTTTCTTTCCTAGTTTGTATATAGCGCAAGCAAGGGTCAAGCGTGCGTTAGGAATTCGACATGTAAGAGCGGGGGGGAGGGCGTATGGCACGCGGGAGAGAGATAGGCCCGATCGTACAGGAGGATCATGCCGTCGGAGGACAACATTAGGATCGATCGAATAATCAGGCGCAGAAGTATTCCTATAAAACTGAATCCGTCCAAACACAAAAATTTCGTGATTTCGAGGGTTGATTCGCCTTTTAGCATTTCTTGTACTGTGTTGGGCATGCCCACAATCAAAGGATGCCGACATTCGCCGTCAACGTTTCTAGGGATATTTATCTTTCGGTAAGTCCTCAAATCAACGAGATGTTGAAGCAACGGCGATCCCACAGTGGGCCAGTTGGTTTTGCGCGCGCTTCAAGCTACAGGCTATTTTGATAACGAATCTTTATGTCAGGAGATCAGAGGGGTTCTGAAGGTTCATGTTAACATTACAGAGAAGTGTACAGTATTCAGACAAAAGAAACGCCGCTTCGCGTCAATTCGAACAAGCACTGTAACTTTGAAGTGAGACCCGCTAAATCAATTTTACTTTTTCGAAACGGCCAAGAGGATTTTGAATCTGCTCCTACGTCATATGGAATCGCTCCTGCAAGAGAGCGTTAGTGTTGGAGATAGTGATTAGGTAGCGACAAGTACCTTATACGGCGGTTACTCGGGCAAAAATCCTCAACGTGCGCTATTTTATTAAAATAGTGAAGGTATTTGTAGCTAATTTGTTGCCTCGTAGAAAGAAGCAAATTTCTAGTTTAATGATGAACTGTATTACTTTTCGATGGCAGGGGGAGTTGAACGGAGTTAGGTTCGGAAGCGTAAAAATCGCAATCATCACAGGAATTTCCTCGTGTAATTGGGCAAAATCCCTCAACGTGGCCATTTTGTTGGTACTGGAATGTATTGAAGATGCTTTAGAGACCGTTTTGATAGAAGAAAATTTCTAGTTTTGTATGACGCTATCACTTTTTCGAATTTGTGGAATGCAATTTAATTGCTACGGAAAGTGGAAAACTGTGCCTCGTCTTCGATTTTCCTCGTTTTTGATCAAATATGTTATTTCTTAATAACTTCGCCGTAATAACTTTCAGTATTTATTAGAAAAAAGCTCTTTCACAACTCCCTCAGCTGGTCAGATTGGAAATTCGTTAAACTTTGATGCAAAGTTTATAATCATTGGAATATATGTTCAAATGCAATGTAAATAAAGCTGCTCCACGAGTCAACGCAAGTCAGGCAACACACAGTCGGCGAAGGCTTGACAAGGCGCTTTGAGCGAAAGGGGACGTATAATTGGACTAATCTGTGTAGTACTAGAATTTAGATAAGTTTGTAGAGGGATAAAAAGAGAAGGTGTTGTTGTACGCCATTTGAGTTATAGTTTGACGTTTGCCTCCTTTTCGTTTGCTCGGTTTGACAGGACTCGTCTTAAAGATCATTCTTTGACTTTTTCACTTTTATATTTTAAACGAGTTTTTTTTTGTGGACGATGGGTAGTAAGCAGGGCTTTTTTAAATGATGGCAGCTATTGTGGAGATTAAACAACTTTTTCAGGTTCGGCTTTCTAAAGAGGCGTTGTTTCATGGACTTCGGCCTTCGCGAAGGAGGAGGGGCGTGCGTTAGGTTTTCGAATTTTTCGCGCCTCGCTTGACCCTGTGCGCAAGGATACAATAATACTGAGAATAAATAATAGTGCAAGACCAAATTTGCATTGTGTGTTTTCCTCCACGGAATCAGCAGCAAAACGTCAAGAGGATACCCTACCGAATTTTCTGAGGTGTCTTCGTAGAAAGTGTTCACCTCCTGAATTCTCGACGGATCAATTAAAGACATATCGAAAATTTTGTGCACAACGCTTTGGCTCATAGGTTTCGCGCATTGGTGATGAAACCTGGAACCGGGTTTAGGAGATTGCGAATACAGTCAAATGAAGGTTTTCTTAAAGTACCTGGGCTACTGGCATTGATACTTTGAGCTGATCAACAACTGCTGCCGCTATCTATACATGCCATTACTACCATTATCTTGAATAGTTTGCTATTAGACCGTTTAACCCATGGCGACATTGCGGCTCGACGCGGCGCGCGCATTGAGATATCTTTTCCGCAGGATTTCCAGAAGTTTTCCTATAGCATACTAATCAGGAAGGCATGTCATACTTACGGTATTAATGGTCAGTGCATATCTTCTCTAGTTGATGTTTTACACGAGGGGTACTTGGAAGTGATTTTCCAAGGCAAAGCTTGTTATCCGACCTCATTTACGGGTTTTAAAGTGGAGATTTGAAGTTTTTCTGGCATGCTCCAAAATACACCCTCGGCAAAACCTAAAGATTTACGCTCATTTTGGAAGCGGTCTGCAATCATACGAAACTTGCAAAGTTCTAACAGTTTATGCTTCAAGATTCAACGTTTTTGGTGCAGGTGGTTAGCCGCATTATGACACTTTTCTCGAAAATGTCAAAAAAGGCGCGGTCCGACGCGGCAGACAAGCGAAAAATCGCATTGTCGCCAATGGGTTAAGCAATGATAACAAAATGGCATACATCGCTTGCAGATGGCACAGGAGTAGTGGTAGTTGCTGGCTTCTTCGTTGAAAAGCGTTCCTCAAGGTTTCTATTCCTATAATGATAACGAATATCAATCATAATTGTATTTGGTGATATCTACCTCTAATTTTTGGTGGTTCTGAGGATGAATCAGGAACACGTTGTACATACATATGTGATCTTGGGTGTGATAGGCTAGGGTGGCCCATACACACAGCGCGCAATGGGCCACAAGAAGGACCAAGAACTCAATCCAATGGGCCAGAAGAACGGCCATTTCCTCCACTAAAACCCGTGCTTTTTTGCCGTTTCTCGATACACTTCCTTGAAGACCTGTATGTGGTACGTGTGGTTTTCACAAAGAAGCAGAGTAAGTCACCCGGCACACGAGGAACGCTATTGCCGTGCGAAGTGTCACTTAAACTTCCAAATGGACTTTCTGGCATTGACGACAGCGTCCTTGGTTTGGTCCTTGCTCGTATTGCTACGTTGCCGTGAAGTGGAAGGCCTAACATTTGGCGCTCCAATCGCATTTGACATTTTCTTATAAGACTCACTGCTGTTTCCGTTAAGGATCACGTTTCACATCCATACACTAGAGTTGTTATCACGCATATGTGAAAGCGTCGTTTGGTCATGAGCGGCGCCATTTGTTTCAATTGAGCTCGGACTTTCCATGTCTACCAGACCACTTCTGCCAACGATGACTTCGCCGTCAGACCCAGTCGGCAGCAGCAATTCCCGTGCAAGAATGTTTATGAACCTTTATAACGGGCACGCTTGCCCTTTCTGAGCTTCCATGTTATCATACCTACTGCCCTGACGTCGCTCCGTCTGCACGGATGCGCATAGTTCGGCTTCAAGACGAAATTGTGTGCTTATGTAAGGCTTTTTCTAGTTTTCGTGTCGATCACATACAGGTTAAACAATGAAGTAAACACAGATTCGCTTGCAATACTCAGATGTGTCTGAGAATGATTTAGCATGAAGGTTTTCCTTTCTGGGTACTGTAGTTATGAAAAGGGTCTTCGAGGAGAAGGTAGAACAATAAGTGAATGCAGTTATATGGCAGCGGTTCTGACAAGAAATCGGCATGAATAACGCTGAATATCACAGCATAACGGGAAACGACTCTCCCTCATCACTCACCTGACAAACTCATCGAAATCTTTTATTGGTACACCATCCAGATACATGACCTTTTCTGTAGTCGTAGATTGTGTTGTGACACTGAATAAAAAAAATTGTAAATTAAGCTCATGAATTCTTAGACCTAATATGTTACTAAAGGCACCCTATGGCGGATGGTGGCTCGAAACGAGCTGACACCTTTATTCAGCTTGTGAGCCACGTCTTTCTCAAAATGCGCTCCCGTAAACGTGTGCAAACGAAAATGGCAGACTACTTTTAATGCTTCACTAATAGTTCCCGGAAACGTACATAGTGTTGAGAAGGAGATGTAACTCCCCCAATGGCTTTGAGGAGTGCTTTAATAATTCAAAGACAGCTTCAGAGGAGTACGTCATTTAATGTTGGGAGGGTAGTAAAGTACCCTAAACTAGCAATCAGATGTGGTGATTTTTTCCCATTGACTAAGAACGAGGAACGTGGAAACATGAACATAGCCCTTCTTGAAACCATAAGCCTGTCAAACTACCTGCCAAACTTGTGCCACTCTCGATCTTGAACCTTGGATGACAGGACTCATGGCCAGGTTTTTGCCAATGCTCCCACCAGGGACCACTCAATCACAGCTTCGGAAGAAGTCTTGAAGAAAGGTAAGGAACGGATGTTATTTCAAATCTTGGACGTCAGGCGGTGTTAATGCAGCACCCTTGCCAGCGGCAGCGTGGAACGCTCGCACTGAGCTGTTGACAATTCGTCATGATGAACATCCCCCGTTGCCTGCAAAACTTGCGTCACAGGGGTTTGCACCTTCTGTGCACCATCCCATGAGCTGCATCGCTGTCACTGCACTAAGGAGCCCTTCTTACTGACGGTGAAAGGCTTCTAGAGAAAGAGAATAGCCTACAAAGGTTGCGAACCTTTAGACGTCTCGCAATATTGGTCCCGTGACTGATCCAGCATCAACATAGGCCGTAGGACCTACATTGTCCACTAATCAATGCAAAATTCTTTCCTTCCCCTTTCCAACACACTGCGTTGACCCAAGCAGCCTGGTAGTTTGAATGTAGCCATCTCTAGAAAGTCCTCCGCAGGATTTTGCCATATTCAGAGTGGCAGCCAGAGTCATCCCTGCGTTGCGCAGTTCTCAACGGCCATGTTG